GGGGGCCTGCGGGCGCCCATGCCGGTAACACTAACACACATATTCTGGTGAGGGTCTGAGATTACTCTCTTATGACGCTGGCTAGTACATTGGCTACCAACTCCATCTGCTGAGCTGAGCCATACAACATTTTCCTCATGTAGGGCTCTCCAACCACCCTCGCTTCCCCCCGGGACATCTAGTGAGAGACATTCGGTTAACAGGTGCGCTAGTGTCTCCGGGACCGTTCTGCAATGCCAGCAGGTAGGATCCCTGTTGTTGTCCAGCCGCCAGACACATGTGCCTATGGGCTGTGCCCGGTGCGCATCTGCGTCACTAAGCTCTGCTGTCTGCGGCCTAACCCCCCCCCCCCATAGGTCTTGTTTTCTAGGGATGGGCAGATTTCAAATGACGCCTCTGGCGGTCGTGTTGTCTCCCCATTGCCTGTACCACTTCGTCCTGAAGTGGTCCGCCAGCCTGTTCTTTATTCCCAAATAAGTTAGTGGGTACTTCTGGATGAGGCTGGGCAGCCCCGGTTTTCGCCAGAGTGTCCGCTCTCTCATCGCCACAGACGTTGACGTGACCTGGGATCCATTGCACTGTGACCTTGCCTCCTAGTGCACTGATTTTGCACACGTCATCAATGATGACGTAAACTAAGAGGGTGGTACCTGGTCTTTTTCCCAAGATCTATAGAGCTGATCTCGAGTCCGAGTACACGATCACATCGAGCCCCGAAAGCTCCGTCTCTTTCAACGTGTGAAACACGCTCTCTAGGGCCCTGTGGACAGCCTCGAGCTCCGCATCGAAATTTGATGCTGCAGTCCCACAGGGCGAATGAGAGTTCTTCATTTGGTGCCCCCCCCCCTTGACGGGTACAGTATGAGAGCTCCATACCCATACTCAGGTTGGCAGAGCCGTCCGTGAACACTTTTACTGGTATGTGTGAAAACACAGCCATGGTCTCAAGGGCAGCCGCTTTCTGAACATGTTCAGGGCTGCGTTTCGTCACTGCTGCATCGTTGTGGTTGTGGTCCTGAATGCGCCACAGATGAATCTCAAAGCCTGATTCTGGATTCGGCCCCACTTTTCCAATGCGGTTTTACTAGCAAAGGATTTGCATACAGTAATCCATCACCGACCTTACACTGCCTAGAAATAGAGCTCTACGCGCTCTTGCGCCCGCGCTCCAACTTGTGCAAGCCAATTTTTTCACCATTTTGAGCTTGGCGGTTGCCTGGGAGAAGAGGTCTTATACAAAATTGTGCAGTTGTACCTTTTGATCCAACTTGACTCCCAGGTAAACCGGTTCTTTGTCCCATTTGAGCTCGATCTCCTGTTTCAGAATGGTCCGCCCGTTGGTAAATAGCGAATAGACCGTCTTCTCGGTGTTAATTTCCAGATGCCACCGCCGCATGTACCTAACGATAGCAGAAAGGTCTTGCTGTAATAGCGTTTTCAGGCGGTGGATATCTTTAACGATAGTCCATATAACCAAATCGTCAACATACATAGCAGCACTGGTTGCTAAAATGTGTGGCAAGACATTGATGTAGGCTAGGAAGAGAGTGCAACTGAGGGCTGGCCCTTGCGGGAGCCCCTCTTCAAGGGTTCTCTTCCTGGAGGTTTCGCTGTCGAATTTCGTGCTGATTGTCCGGGTTGCAAGAAAACCGACAACCCACCTGTACATGTTGACAGTTACTTTCAACTTTTGCAACTTCAACAATAAACCGGACCGGACCTCCAAACCCGGTCATAGGTTTGTCGGAGGAAAAAAAAATTCAGCCACTACTGTATGCGACTTTTTCTGGAGCCCATCTGTTATGGACCTGATCTACAGGCTGCATATCCTCGAGGAAGCCCGCTTATATTGGGCTGAGGCTCCCGCTACTCTCCAGGTACCTGTAGAGCCTTTGGTTAATCATTCTTTCGGCTACTTTCCCTAAACATGATGTTTGGGAAATTGGACGGTAGCCAGTCGGTTGATCGAGTTTCTTCCCCTTGGGAATAGGGACGATGGTAGCGCTAAGCCAAGCTCTGGGTAGCATTCCTATCACCCAGGATCTGTTAATAATTAATTGACAATAGCTGTGTCCTAGCTATCGGGCCAAGGTTTTTGATGATGTATTACAGATTTTGTCCGGACCTGGTGCCTTGGTGGCGTTGCACTTGTCGATTGCGGTTTGCAACTCAGTCATAGTGAAAGGTGCGGTAAAGACTTCAGCATATGGTCCCCACCGTTGGGCGACTTCTCCATGTTGCCGGAGCCGGTTTAGGTTCTTGCTTTCGATTTATCTTTGCAAATGCTTGTTTAAAGCCTCGACACTCTTGGCATCTGTGGTAGCTATGTCGGTCGTCACTTGCAACGGGCGCAGACTTCAAACGTTTCCCATTCAGGTTAGCGAGTCCATCAATCGCCAGATCGTCTTCGCCCTATGAACCTCCTTCCGAACCTCAGCCGTCCGTTTATTGTAAGCCGCGCGAGAAGCTGGCTGTTGTTACTATCGCTACTTGACCATTGCAAGTTGGCCATCTAGCGGAGGGGACGGTCCGGGCACCACTTCTTTCTTCTTTAAATGGAGGGGCTAAATGCCGTAGAAGGCGGCACAAATCTAGGGCTGCCCTGTAGCGTCACTCACCCTAGCAACGCCACTGCATCTAGCAGTATACTAAAGATACTGTGTCTACTTGGTCACAGTCACTATTCAAAAATTCATCCATTCAAAGTAAAAAATATCAATTTAAACACATCGCATCACGGAAGCCCTGTATGTGGACCCCTAACACGTCACACAGCCATTCTTTGAGGGAGACTCATACACAAGTGATTCCCGTAAGAATATATTAAGGGGTGAAAGGCCGCCGTCACCTGTTACGTTTCATTTGTTTACAGTAAATAAACTCGTGACCGACTAAGGGTGTGAACTGAGTGCATTCGTTTTACTCCTTTCTCTTTGGTCTCCATTTTGACGATCGGCAAGAAAATGGAAGAGAAACGAATGTGTTACATTTTTGTATCGTCACTGGCGACACATTGCGCCATTTTGCTCAGTTTGGTTCCACTAGGTGGAACAATAATGGAGGCTTTGCAATTAATTGCTCTTACTGTTTTGGATGAAAAGGAAACGTCGAAGCCCAAAACGTTACTGGACACACAGACAATTTTTAAACGAAGAGATGATTTTGGAGAATATCATCATCTTCTGGATTAAGTTTTAAGAGATGAAGAAAAATGTGTTTCCTATATTCGGATGCGCCCTGAAACTTTTCCAATCCTTCTTGATCACATTGGACCTCATATTGAGAAAAGAACAACTCATTTTCGAAAACCTTTGTCTTCAAGAGAAAGACTTGTGATAACTCTACGGTAAATGGCACATTGACGATGACTAATGACAAAAACATAATTTAGGGCAGGTAGACAGACAGGCCGACGGGTGGGTTGAAAGATGGATAGATGGATGATAGATTGACACTATAAATTTACAGCAAAACAAGTGTTGATGAACATTTTTGCGGCTGGTCTAATCACTTGCTGAGAGTAAATTGGGAGAAATTTTAGTTGCGAGTTCGATTCAGCAAATGGGAGCGGCACAAAAAGGAGAGTAACGCGAGAGGGGTGCACTCCCTTGCCTAGATTGAAATATGAGACTCTTCCGGTGATTCGGCAACTGAGAGCAAAGGTCAAGCTGGGACCATCACGAAGCGGAGACGAAAACGAATGCACTCAGTTCACAGGTTAAGACTATCACAATGTCTGCTGAATTGCTATTTTTAAACCAGGCCTGCACAACTCAAAATGTAATACTTAAAAGACGTGTACGGGACGAAAGAAAATAGGACAGCGGGGGAAAGCTCTTAAGAACAAAAATAATAATAAAGAATATTTCGTTACTTCACGGGCCCGAAAGTGGGTCCTGGCGGGCCGCATGCGGCCCTCGGGCCGTATGTTGTGCAGGCCTGATTTAAACCATCACGTGTTGAGAGCTTAGTTAGAACCAAAATACGATACAACGTGTAGAAGACGTGGCCCACTTGTTAGGCCCCATTTGTTAAGCCACGCCCACAGGTGCATGTTGTGGTGTGACATCCTTGAGATGAATCAGTGTGCACGTGACCACCAATAGCGCCTGACATCATCGACATGAATCGGTGTACAACATCACTGACATCAATGAGGGTACATATGTACACAAATATCGTCTTACATCCTTGACATTAATCAGTGCAGATGTGTACCTACATCAACATCATTGATATCAAGCAGTTACGTGTATATGCAAATAGCACCTTACATCCTTGACATCAATCAGTGTAGGCTACATGTGTACACAAATAGTGTATTGCATCCTTGACATCAGTCAGTGTGCATGTGTACACCACTAACGCCTTACATCCTTGACGTGAATTGCGAATCAGTGTGCATATGTAGCCTACACTAAAAGCGCGTCTCTCGAACAACTGTCTATACTGTGTTCATGAATGGCTTTTTTTTTTCTTTTTTTCGAGTATGACGCTATAACACTGTATTGACTCCATCATCTCAACTAGACTATGATGAAGCTTCGTGTGTTTATTAGTGAGCTGCGATATCAAATAAATGCGACCCAAGCTATGAAAATTTGGTGAAATCCATTATTTGGAAGCATGGGCGCCCGGGGGGAAGGGGGGGGCAAGGGGGGCACTTGCGGCCCCCCCCCCCTGGATTCCCCCCCCTTGGATTGATTGGATAAAAAAAATTTAGACAAAAATAGACAAACAATTTATTAAAGTAAAGAGAAAATAAAGAGAAAGTAACTAAGCTGATGTCCTGTCCATTCGTTCACCATACAAATACGCTACAGTACATTAAAACTATATTAAAACATTACTAAAAATTTGTGCCCCCCCCCCGGAAAGTTAATCGATTTTTTTGCCCCCCCCCCCCAGAAAGTTTTCTGCGGGCGCCCATGCTTGGAAAGGTCACACGTTACTGCTATGTGGTACACACAGACGTACACAGCACCCGGCTACGCGGTGACTAATGTTACACTTTGTGTGAAACCGAAACACGAAGAGTTTGGCGACATAAACTGTCTCGGGGTCAAGGGTCAACTTGTTTGTTGATGAACGGTCGTGAATTGATAGTAAAGTTTAAACTCTTATTGAGAAGAGTGTTTATCACGCTGTTTATAATAAATACCAGCAGTGCTGGATTAAACCAGATGTGAACTTTCTCCACTTTTCACGGATTTACGAGCCTAAGCTTTTTGTGTGGTGTGTAGTTGGTTTTAGTAGTTTTACAACCTGCGTGTAGCAAGTTAAGTTAGTGTTAAAATAAAACTTGAACTTGCGTGTAGCGTAGTCTCTGGTGACTGGTGCCTATTAATAATATTATTTTCACTATGGATTCGCCAAGACAGTAACTTCGGTAAGCATTGTGGCTGTCATTGTCTTTTTAATTAATTTTTTTTTAACGTTTTTTTTTCTTCTGAAGCTGTAAATTATTTAATAATTACCACTTTTTTTTTTTAACGCTTAGGCTTGTCGGCATATATATTATATAGTAGTAAAATATCAAGACAGTAACTTCGGTAAGCATTGTTGTTGTCATTGTCTTTTTAATTAATTTTTTTTTAACGTTTTTTTTTCTTCTGAAGCTGTAAATTATTTAATAATTACCACTTTTTTTTTTTTAACGCTTAGGCTTGTCGGCATATATATTATATAGTAGTAAAATAGGCCGAAGTTCTCACTCCGTTAAAAGTCTGACCAATATTTATGGCCCAGAGTTGCTAGAAATTCATTCACAGCATGACAGATTATAATTACATCATATCTACGGACAGGATTTTTACACTCGATAAAATATTTTTTTCTTTAAAATGAAAGATTCTGAATTACGGAGGCCCTGTATTAAATGATATAAACATAGCATAAGGTGAGTGCGCAGGTGGCCTCCCAGTCTATTTGTGTGTGGGAAGCTTGCCCGCATGTGGAACAATAGTCAATAGTGTTTTGATGCCCCTGTGATATTTATGGCAATCCGCTTTTCCTTGTTCTGACCGTGAGTGCTTTCATTGGTACATCTACTTTCTGAAGAGTGTGCTCCAATAGTGAGTCGGTCTCGGAGGTTTTACTTTGACCAACCAAATCAAATGTATGAGTTCAGGTCAGGTCGATGACCACGGATTTGGGGGACACTTAGGCAATCTTAAACCTTTTTTTTTTTCCCCTACCAATAAATTTTGAGCTATTTCCTTTGGACAGTTCACCGTACATTATTTCTTTTGATAGGTCACACAGCCATAATCTCACCCACAGGCAAAGTATCCGTACCATTCACTTTTAGTTCGAGTCATGCTGTTGTTAAATATTCCTACTTGTCAAAGTGATGAAGGTGGGCATAAGGCTTTCAATGACAGGAGGGTTGGTATAGACCTGTCGATGACAAGAGTGTTGGCATAAGACTATCAATGGTACGAGGTGAGCATAGAGCTGTCAATGACTGGAGGCTGTCAAATTGCTGTCAATGGGATTTGTGGCATAAACAAATAAATGGTAGGAATGGCGGCACACTATAAAAGGGACAGATGGCGCGGGATCTAAGTGGAAACCTCTAAATCTGGCGTGAACAAATATAAGGAATATAACTTAACTTTTCAGTTTCAATGAAAATATGTTCCTTAATGAATGTGTTAGTCACGTGTGACCTTGGCCTTGTTCAGAAACATCAGTGAACTTCCTGTAATACGGGAATTTCATATTGACGTGAGCCGCGCGTGTACATAAATCTTCCATGGTTCAAACAGGAATTTACTTATTGAGGTTTGGAGAGCAAAAGATTTTTGAACTACTTAGTATTTCTGACAAGGTTTTTTTTAAAAAGATCTTTGAACTAATTTTTACTACAGCAGCTTTGGTGTAAGGGCTTTAAAACATCTTTGAACTACTTCTTATTCTATAGCATTGATGGCATAGCTTTAAGAGCTCTTTGAATTACGTATTATTCTATAGCACTGATGTCAGGGCTTCAAAATCTGACGTCTTTGGAGGAAGACTGGTTCAAGTCAGGGAGTAGAAAATCTTTCCCACAAGTCGGATACGGCCCTCAAGATCATTTGGTCTATCCTGCGATTTGATTGGTTTTCTTGCCATGCATTTCACCATTGTCAACGTTTTCAGGGTATTTCCCCAAAAAATCTCCATAGCGTTCAGGCCGCCAGCCCAGTCCCCAAACCACGATACTTTTTGGAAATGGGCTTTAAACTAGGGGTCTCAAACTCAAATCATCCGGGGGCCGCAGGAGGTAGAGTCTGAGTGAGACTGGGCCGCATCAAGTATTCCAAACCAAAAAAAAAAAAGAAAAAGATTACAAATTCAATTAAGTACAATCTGCTCACCTTTATTAATAAAAAAATTAAAACATTAGGGTTTTCAATAACCAGGCTTCACTTACTTCCTCCTACTCATTGTTGCCAGAGACCTGGCAGCGCTTCTTCTTACACAGCTGAGCAAAATTTGTATATTGTAGGGAGAATGAATTTTGATATTATTTTTTTTACCGAGAAAAGGCCTTTTTGACTAACCCTATTTTGAAAGTGACCAAGCTGACAGGCGCGGAATTGCCCTCACTCGTCACTCGTACACACTAGCGGAAATTTGAAAAGGAATTGCTACGATTTACACAATTATGGTTGTGCATTACCAACTGAATTTTAAAACTTTTGATGTGTCTATAAACAATATTCGAAGCGTGTTTTCTCAAATCCACACTTTGGCCGCCATGTTTGTCTCATAAAAATGCTGTAAAATAGAAACGTTTAGTCCGATTTTAAAAAGGTTTTTACCATTATAATCAACTTCCACATCTATACAAAAATAATAAAAATCAGCATTAGACCAGTCGGTGAGATTCGACTGAAACCGTCGCGGAGGGTCACATTATAGATACGAGAACGGTGAAAACGCGCGGGCCGCATTAACACTAAACTTTGCTGTCAAGTAGCGGGCCGAAAAATATCATCTTGCTGGCCGCAAATGGCCCAAGTTTGAGACCCTTGCCTTAAGCCTTGATTTGACCTCTAAGTGTGTCACTGTCATCGATACATCGGGCTGGGCATCGGGCTGGGCAGCCCCGGTCCTCACCAGAACGTCTGTGTTTTCATTTCCAACCATCTCTGCGTGCCCTGGAATTCACATGTTGGTGTCTATTACATCGAAAACTACACCTAAAACATCGTGGTGTCCATCACAACCACGACTACACCTAACGTGGTGTCTATCACACCCAAGACCACATCTAACATCGTGATGTAATGGACTTTAGTATACACGTTGTAATGGACATAAGTATATATACAAGATATATCAATACAAACCTAAATCGATTTGTTGAAATATACAGGAAATTCGACAGCACTAACAATACAAACCAACAGTACGAACGCTTCAGCAGAAAGCCTTCCATCTGCCAACACATACATTAAGAACACAAGACAATCAAGACAAAAGAGAAATTTGTACGCAAACAAGTTGATGGTCTTGTGTGATACAAGCTGTCACCTATCCTGTACTTCCAAGATTTTGCAAACAAGTTGGTCTTGTGTGGTACAAGCTGCCACATATCATGTACTTCCAAGATTTTGCAAACAAGATTTTTATGAATCTCTTTAAATGAGTCTGACGATTCAGTATGTTGGCCCCGGCTGCTGTTAAGGAAATGTGTTTTTTTTTAAAGAAGGCCAACCACACCACTGCTCATGTTACACTGACTAGGGGATACATCTTTGGAATGCATTGTGTCTTGGGTGTGTGTGTGTGTTTGGGAGGGGGGTGTCTGGATGGGTCACCTTTATTTGATGCAGAACACAAGACAAGACATCCAAGCTTGCAGATAGAAATGGAGATGTGCCAACCGACTGGCTGCTGTGCCAACCGACTGGCTGCTGTGCCAACCGACTGGCTGCTGTGCCAACCGACTGGCTGCTGTGTCAACCGACTGTGAGCTGTGCCAACCGACTGTGAGCTGTGCCAACCGACTGTGAGCTGTGCCAACCGACTGTGAGCTGTGCCAACCGACTGTGAGCTGTGCCAACCGACTGTGAGCTGTACCGACAGATGTGATGTCTGGGTCGTGCTAGTTTTCAATTTTCCTCAAGTTTTCTTTGTGTTGGTTCGGTTCCTTTAAAAATGCTTCCACTCTTTTTTTTTTTTTTTTTTTTTTTTTTTTTTTGGTTTTTAATTTTTTTTTTTTTTTTTTAAAAATTTTTTTTTTTTTTTCTTTTTTTTTTTTTTTTTTGTTTCGGTTCCTTTAAAATTTCTTCCCTTTTTTTTTTTTTTTTTTTTTTTGTTTGTTGATTGGTGTATAAGTTTACTATTAATTGTTGAAACAAATTATTACTATTAATTGAATGTTGTATCTGATGATTACTATTAAAACGCACGTGTCCACCTTCTGTTAAATTGCGTAACAACTGGCAGAAGAAAAAGTTAATAATTTGCTACAACACACCAAGAGACATTCAATGATCTGGTCTATAGTAGAGTTTGTAAAATACAGCTAAATGCGTAAAAGGTCCATATGGCACTTGATAATGTCAAGCGATCTTAACTCTTATATCTTGATTCAATGAGTGTGTGTGTGTGGGGGGTGGGTGGGGGGCGGGCGGAATCCTTTTTAATTTTTTAACCGGATCCATCGGGGTTCTGACGCATTGGTCGCAAAACATTTTGGTAAAATATGTGCCAAAGTTTTATTTCTAAATGGTTCGGTGTGCCAACGACCTGTCCATTTAACTCATCAACCAGATTTGTTTAAAAGTCCATTTATCTATTTTTGTTCTCCCACATGACATTAACACCGCTCTGCGTGTCAACGTCTGGCTCGCGTGCCGTAGATTGTAGACCTCTACATTTCGATATTTGGTGGCGAATACAGTATCAGACTGTTGTTTTTTTTACGGTTGGCTGACTTAAACATTTAACATGGGTTCTCAATCTCAGTAATGAGGAGACGAAGCCTTGCTGTCATGACTTTTTCACGTAGACGTCCACAAACATCAGTATCAGTACATGTTTGAGCACCAGTATCGGTAAACGTTTGAATACCTGCATCGGTAACATGTTTGAACACCTGCATCGGTAACATGTTTGAACACCTGCATCGGTAAACATTTGAACACCTGCATCGGTAACATGTTTGAACACCTGCATCGGTAACATGTTTGAACACCTGCATCGGTAACATGTTTGAACACCTGCATCGGTAACATGTTTGAACACCTGCATCGGTAAACGTTTGAACACCTGCATCGGTAACATGTTTGAACACCTGTTTTAATAACTGGATTGGTTAAATGTTTGAATACCTGCATCGGTAACATGTTTGAACACCTGCATCGGTAACATGTTTGAACACCTGCATCGGTAAACGTTTGAACACCTGCATCGGTAACATGTTTGAACACCTGCATCGGTAACATGTTTGAACACCTGCATCGGTAACATGTTTGAACACCTGCATCGGTAACATGTTTGAACACCTGCATCGGTAACATGTTTGAACACCTGCATCGGTAACGTGTTTGAACATCATTATCGGTAATGTGTGAATCGGTAACGTGTTTGAACATTAGTATCGGTAATGTGTTTGAACATCAATATCAGTAATGTTTTTAAACATCATTATCAGTAACATGAACATACGAAAATATCCCAGAAATGACCTCGTCTTAGCAGCAAACTTGCTGATGCAGCACATCCCCCTGTGATGGGGAACCGTCTTTCGTTCATTCACATCTCAGCACAGATAACGGTTTTGATAATCTAATCCGAGGTCAGAATCGACACGTGATCCTCAATACTGTAATAGTCTGACTGGGTTCTCACATCCTGGGTGTGACATCGCTTTCGCAAGGGGTTCTCATTTCCCGCGGTTTTCCTCCTCCATGGAATACCGGGATAAAAATTAATTTAATTAAGAATAAGTCTGCAACTATTTGCACCCGGGTACAAGAAGTGAGAGGTTGGGATAAAAAAAACAAAAAAACTATTTAAAATATCATTGATGGGTTTGTAAGACAAAATGAGGTATCAAATGAAAGATAATTGAATGGACTACATGTTTTTAAACTTACTTCTTCAGTTTAACTAAAATAAACTACCACAAATGACATCCGAATAGCATTGGTCTAATGGTACCCGGGTGAGAATGGCGGAGCTGCGCGTCTGGGGCCATTTTGACTAATTGCTGTTCGGATGTAATTGGATGTACCGGGTATTTTTTTTTTTTTTTTTAATGTTAAGGTTTTTTGAGAGGTTGTTCACTTGCTCAAAGTTGTTTATTTTTCCACGGCTTGCCCCTAGCTGTAGATAACGAGCTAATAATTTGCCTGTTAGCAAAACTCTAATCTCACTGGCTTGTGGGAAGAAAAAAATAAACAACATAATACTAAATGAGTTTTGCATTCTTTACAAGTCGCTAATTCTAGTTTTGAATCCGTCACATTAATATTTAAAAGCAAATTTTTCCAATAACTTGTAACAAGGGATTCGTTTCGAAAAGAACCCGCAAAGGAACTACTAATGACGTTAATACATATAGGCCATAGGCCAATCTATATTTATGTGCATATGTCTTACTATGTTGATTTCGGAGACCAAAAAGAACAAAAAAAAACACAGGCTATAGGCATAGTTTGATGCATGAAGCCTCGGGATAATCAATTTACGAGAGCACAATAGTCCAGCCCATGGGAAGTGACCTCAAATGGTGTTACGAAGGGATTTATGGGATGTCGCTTGCTGAAACAGACTGAGATTTAAGGGATGTCGCTTGCTGAAACAGATTGAGATTTAAGGGATGTCGCTTGCTGAAACAGACTGAGATTTAAGGGATGTCGCTTGCTGAAACAGACTGAGATTTATGGGATGTCGCTTGCTGAAACAGACTGAGAAATTGTGATTTGTAAATTGTTTTTTTCCAGTTGGTGACTTAAAGTTTGAGTTGCGATATAAAATCATGGCATTATAAATATGTCGCCAATTACATTTTACTCGAAATTTAAATCTTAAGTTTTTTCTCCAAGAATTTACTCCCCCCCCCCCAACCTCCTCCGGCATCCCCGTCCATCACAATGTGACAATGGATGGTGTAGACTTCGCAAGACGAAATCCACAAGGCCTGGGATTATTCTTTAGGATTAGGCATATAAGCTGGTTCCTTCAGAGGCGTAGCTAGAGTGTTTGGCGCCCGGGGACAAGATTCATTTTAAAGAGCCTCGCGTTCTTTGTGTAACGCTCAAACTCATGATTTTTATCAAAATATCAAAGCAAATTTTGGCGCCCCACTGGGTTCCCTACACAGCAAATCGCCTGTCTCCACGCCACTGGATAACCCAAGGGAACATCATGTCGATGATACAGCTTGGCAACAGTGGCGTCGCAGGAGTTTCCGGAATGTTTCAATGTACCAATGTTATCCGCCTACGGGACTCTCATCTCCGGGTTTTGAATTCAGAGTTTCCTTCACTTGGAAGAGTTGCCTTCCACCCAGGGTGCTGATGTTTTTGCTTGACTGGGCTTTGGTTGGGATTGAAATCTAGAACATGAACTTAAGATTTGCTCAGTTGGGACCACTTGGCTACCCGGCACCCCACCTTATTTAACAGCCACCCCCCCCCCTAATATTTCATTGTAAGGGTCACTAAGCTTCTATAATATAAATGTGGTCGTGATTTGAAACGCTTGTGAACCTGTGTACTTGAGCTACCGAGCTTAGTAATTAGCGTGGTTAACTATATTTGACAGGTCTTGGCTTATAGCGACAATCGGGGACAAAATGGGACACTATTTGATTTGCTGAAAAAAATTTTTTTTAAAAAGCATGACCATTCTTATGACTAGTGATTACATGGAGATGGACACTTTCCGGGGAAGGTTTAATTATTAAAAAAAAACCCACTAAAAATCGTGCGAGATCCCATTGTTCATAATTTTTTTATGCCTCGTGTGTTTCTTACAGTGTGTTTCGTTGTGCACACTAGAACACTAAACAGTATTGTTTGACTCAACATTGGAACCCAACACAGTGTTACACTCAACACTGGACACAAAATTTAGTGTTTAGCTAAGCATCGCCCCACCATACATAGAGTTTAACCTAGCATTTCCAACACAGTACATTAGGTGCTTAACTCAATATTGGAAAACAAAAGTATTTTAACTCCCAGAACATCTGTCCATGTTTGACACAGATCCTAGTGGTATCGTGTTTGTTAGACACATTTCTCTTACGTTGTTGTTACATGACGGGATTTGGACTGGACACGGACCTTCGACTAGGCTGTGTTAGGCAGATGTAACCGCTGGCTGTAACAGGCAATAAGTCAAATCAGGGACTTGTTATACTTATGTATTAAAAACATGAGTAGTAAAGCTTATTATTTAACTTTGAAAGATCCTTGTATATAGTATTTTCATAATTTTTAATGTTGAAACCAGTCCATTATGAATACCAAGCTAGTATAGTAATAAACATTTGGCTCAGGGTTTGCGGAATACCTCGCTATAGTATCCATAATTTGGCCCAGGGCTCAAGGAATGCCAAGCTATGGTATCCACCATTTGGCCCAGGGCTCACGGAATGCCAAGCTATGGTATCCACCATTTGGCCCAGGGCTCACGGAATGCCAAGCTATGGTATCCACCATTTGGCCCAGGGCTCACGGAATGCCAAGCTATGGTATCCACCATTTGGCCCAGGGCTCTAGCTATAGCATCCATCATTTGGCCCAGGCCTCAAAGAATACCAAGCTATAGTATCCATCATTTGGCCCAGGGCTCACGGAATGCCAAGCTATGGTATCCACCATTTGGCCCAGGGCTCACGGAATGCCAAGCTATAGTATCCATAATTTGGCCCAGGGCTCACGGAATGCCAAGCTATGATATCCACCATTTGGCCCAGGGCTCACGGAATGCCAAGCTATGGTATCCAACATTTTGGCCCAGGGTTCACGGAATGCCAAGCTATAGTATCCACCATTTGGCCCAGGGCTCAAGGAATGCCAAGCTATAGCATCCATCATTTGGCCCAGGCCTCAAGGAATGCCAAGCTATAGCATCCATCATTTGGCCCAGGCCTCAAAGAATACCAAGCTATAGTATCCATCATTTGGCCCAGGGCTCACGGAATGCCAAGCTATGGTATCCACCATTTGGCCCAGGGCTCACGGGATGCCAAGCTATAGTATCCATAATTTGGCCCAGGGCTCACGGAATGCCAAGCTATGGTATCCACCATTTGGCCCAGGGCTCAAGGAATACCTCGCTATAGTATCCATAATTTGGCCCAGGGCTCACGGAATGCCAAGCTATGGTATCCACCATTTGGCCCAGGGCTCAAGGAATGCCAAGCTATAGCATCCACCATTTGGCCCAGGGCTCAAGGAATGCCTCACCATAGTACCTGCCATATGGATCCAGGGCTCATTTTCAAAGAAGCATCATCATCAACTTTAACACACGGACATTGTTAATACACAAACGTATGCGCCTCAGCTGCAGAACTTGACACTCGTTACAAATATTGTTTTAGCTTCGTTATAGTGAAAATGGAATTTGAGCCAAGTTCAGATATTAACAATGTGTACGAGACTATCTACGGTAATATTAACAATGTGTACGAGACTATTTACGATAATAGTAGCAATGTGTACGAGACGATCTACGATAATAGTACCAATGTGTACGAGACTATCTACGGTAATATTAACAATGTGTACGAGACTATCTACGATAATAGTAACGATGTGTACGAGACTATCTACGATAATAGTAACAATGTGTACGAGAATATCTACGATAATAGTAACAATGTGTACGAGACTATCTACGATAATAGTAACAATGTGTACGAGACTATCTACGATAATAGTAACAATGTGTACGAGGCTATCTACGATAATAGTAACAATGTGTACGAGGCTATCTGCGATAGAGCGAACACATTGTTTACCAAACTGCAGACATTAAAACTGGGACCAATTTTCAAACCGGCCGGGACAAAGGTTCTAAACCGGGACAGATTTTATGATCTTCGCCGTGTTCCATTTAGGATTTGACACAGGGACCACTACGACTAACATGTTTCTTTTAGGATTTGACACAGGCCCCACTACGACTAACATGTTCCATTTAGGTCGCCGAGGATCGGAAAAGTTTGGGAACCATTGCTTTAGGATTATTTTAAGTGTTAAATGGCCATAGCTTTGACATACATAAATATTTTGTTTGTTTGTTAAAGGGACAACTTTAAAAGTTGGATAAGTATTTAAATCATGGTGTTTGAATGAGGCCAGCTCGAGTTTTAAATGAAACGGTTTGAGTCCAAAATGTTTAGAAAGTCATGGTTTCATTACTGGAAGGGGGGGGGGGGACAATAATTTCTCTTAGCTACGTTTTTGTTACCTGGTCTTTAATTTCGATGTCGGTTCAACTGTTTTAGGAGTTTTTTCCAAATGCAATCCCTGGTCACTCCGGGTATATTAGCTGGTTAGATTATAATGGAATCTTCACGACATTTAAGGGCTGGACAGTGGCCTTCTTTTTGTATAGCAGTATAACAACTTCAAAACGAAGAAAACACAAGCTCGCAACATTGTATTTTTTATATAACTATTGCCATTTTTATATTAGTTATACCGTTTCTCTCGTTTTTAAGATGAGCTTTCACTATTAGAAAGTCTAATTATTAGTCTACACATTAAGTGGAGATGGTGTGGAGGGTGGTATGTGGGTCCTGTGTGGAGATGAAATGGTCTGGAAATGGGGTTGATGTGTATGAAGATGGTGTGGCGATGGTGAGATGGCGTGGGTGATGGTGTGGTATTGGGAAATTGTGTGTGGCGGTGTTAATGTATGGAGATAGTGAAGAGAGATAGTGTGTGGATATGGTGAGATGGTGTAAGGAGATGGTTAGATGGTGCACGGAGACGGTTAGAGGATGTGTGGAGAGGGTGTGATATGTGGGGCTCATGTTGTGAGATGGTGTGGGCAAGAGGGTGTGGTGAGATTGTTCGTGGAGATGGTGTTGGGAGAAAATTCGATAAGCAATAAACGAATATTGGGAGATGGCTAAGTCTACGGTAGAAGAGTCGAAAGGTNGGCGTCGGACATTGGAGGGCGGCGGACATTGGAGGGCGGCGGACATTGGAGGGCGTCGGACATTGGAGGGTGTCGGACATTGGAGGGCGTCGGACATTGGAGGGCGTCGGACATTGGAGGGCGTCGGACATTGGAGGGCGTCGGACATTGGAGGGCGTCGGACATTGGAGGGCTTCAACAGGAAGGGTGAGAAAGGTGGGGCAACTTCAGCAGATAATCAAATGTCTTTAAAACTGTTATATGGAATCCGAAATATGTGAATTCCCTGGTCAATAAGATATACATAGTATAGTTATGTGAATTCCCTGGTCAATATGATATGCATAGTATATTTTACTGAAGTGAATTCCCTGGTCACGTAACACTGTTATATTTAACTTTTATTTGTACTCCTCAGCTGACACCAGTGACACATGACATTGCCCAATGACGATGGTTTTGCACAACCTAACAGTGGAATGCTAACGGCGTTGGTGGGACAATCATGGAAACTCCGATGTCAGACCCGGTAGGTCACAAAACAAAGTGATGACCTTTACAGTATTGGCGGGTTTCAACAATAATTGACTTACAGACATGTCACTACCAAGAACCAATTGTTTTTTGTTTTTTTCTGCACCAGTCTCTGTCAGTGTAATGCTAGGATATGCAAGAACACAACTGCAGTTTCTTCAAGAATGTAATATCAGACATCAAACGTAAGGTTGTGACATCTCTTGTTAGTTACACCAGAGAACCTTACTAGTTCCTGTACTTGTTCCCTTACCTAGTGCCCATACCTACTTACTTACATACTTATGCTTTTTACCCCGCCTGGGGCATAGGCTGTCTACAAGAATTTTCCATTCATCTCGGTTCTGTGCTTTCCTTTCCAGTTCAAGATGTATCCCATACTTTGTGTGTCTGCGTCTAGCTCGCTCTAGCTCGCGTTTCTATATATTCTTAGGCCTTCATCTCCCCCCCCCCTACCCTTTTTCCAGTTTTTTTTCCATGATAGGGATTGTCTGGTGATATATCTGAAGGTTTGCGAGGTGATAGGCTCCTGTTATGTCCTTTCCAGTAAGTCTTTGTTGGTGATAGTGTTTAGCCATTTGATGTGCAATACCTTTCTAAGGCAAGTGCTTATGAAGGTCTTTACTTTCATGTACTATTTCCTGTTCCATTACATGTTCCTGTACCTAGTTCACATACCTATTTCCCGTACATAGTTCCCATACTTATTTCCCATTTATAATTCCCATACCTATTTATCGTACATAGTTCCAATATCTAGTTTCCGTTCATAGTTCCTTTAGTTCCAATATCTAGTTTCCATTCATAGTTCCTTTTCATTATTTTTTAGGAAAATGTTGAAGGGCCTTTGTCACACTCTACGCCTTGGTCGCACTCTAGGCCCAGGTCACGTTCTAGGTTTTGGTCACAATCTAGGCCTTGGTCACATTCTAGGTCTTGCTCACTCTTCAATGGCCTGAAACGATTGGTGAAGAACAAACTCTTCTATCATAATGCAATTTTGATTGAACAAGGTTATAGGTGTGAGATAATATGTGCATAAAGTTGATCTTGTGATAAATTTAGCACCACCCCCCCCCAAAAAAAAAACACCTAAGAAGCTTTTTTCTTATAGATAGTTTATATGCATTTTTGTTGGAATTTATGTAATTGTATGTGATGTATCAATTATGTGATTGTAGCAAGTTTTTTTTGGTAAGGGAATTGTTTTTATCAAACTTAGTGCAAGTAAAACCTAATAGACTAAATATACATATTAAAACCCACATACGTCACAAATACAAAACACATAGGGACAACACAATTAATCTCCACACCAAAACACGCAACCATTGGAACAAATCATTGACATTCCTCATTGTGTGTCAAGTTTCAGTGCGATTGGATGATGAAAAGTGGGTCAATTAGCCCTCTGAAGCTTTTGCAGCCACTTAGAAACACACAAAAGTGAAGTCAATATAAGGGATTTTAAAAGGGCATGCTAACCAACACATTGTGGAAGCACTGGTTCAAAGTTAATAAAAATTATTATAGAACTACTATTCAAAATATGCAACATTGAAAAAAATTGAGGTAAAATATAAACACATTTACACTCCCTGGAACATAGACGCACTGTAGCTTGGACATGTTTAAACACATTTAGACTCACTGTAATGTGGGCATGTTTAAATTACATGTCGGGTTTCTTAAACGAATTTTTCAATAAGAACTTTTGTACTGCTTTCTACTGCCTGTGGGTGGGCTGCTGCTTATCACCTGTTCATGATTGGTTTGCCAATCTAAATTTTATCATAAGTATTTATAGGTTTCATTTACATAATGAAAGCTGTTAACTTCCATTCGGTCCCCTTCTCAGGTAGGCTGTGACCATGCAGTTAGCATTCAAGAATTAAGTCCCGGTGAAAGAAACACAGATGAACCAAAGGCAGGTGAAACAGGTGCAGGTGAAAGAGACACATGTGAAACAGATGCAGGTGAAAGAGACACAAGTGAAACAGACCCAAGCGAATCCAGTCCTAAAGAATCAACCTCAGTGTCTCCCGATAGACCACCGGTTATGCAGAGGAAATTACTCAACTTGTCTTACGGTGAGAGTCCAGGAAGCAGTGACACAATCCCAGGTTTTGAAGCTTTCTCTGACTCAATAAGTGATGAGTCCAGGCACAGGTTTGTCTATGAGAACGATGAAGATGAGCTGGATGCTGAGTGTAGTTTCTATTACAATTTGTCCCTTGCCGCTGCTGCTGATAGTAACTCAACTTCAGAAGCTAAAGTGTATGAGGCAGCAGAGGACCATGTTCAGTTAAGAAGAAAACCTTTCCCGGATTTTAGACTGCTCTCTTTAAATGAGCCCAGTTTTAAAGCCAAGAAAATGAAGAATTGCAATGTGACTTACAATCAAATCGACAAGGGAGCAAGCTACGATGGTTCAGGTTCCCCGTGTGATATGAATCCCGTCTCAAAGAATCTTCCGCCCTGGTATTGGGGACCCCTTTCAAGGTAAGGGCTATTTCCACACTTTTAAATGTCTTTGATGAGACATTTCATGGAATGGACAAAAAATATGCTTACAATATGAAATTTTGGAGAAATCACAAGGTAAGGGCTATTTCCACATTTTTAAAGTGTCATTAGGGAGACATTTCATGGAATGGACTATTTACACACTTCCAAAGTGGTATTGGCGAGACATTTCATGGCGTCTGGGGTGAGTTGCCACTTTTTCCCCCAAAATTATACTACACTGCAATCTTCCTACTTATTACCTACGCTAGCAATAAAAGGTAACCACTTTTCCTCATAAAAAATCCCAGTCACAACCAGTTTTTAACATCCATCAGCTGATAACGATACAGAATGCGGTTTAAAATCCAAAAACTGGAAATCCTCCGAAAACTGGAAACCGGGTTTTAAAATTTCACTTACCTTTATTCACAGACTTGAAGTAGGCAAAGTTTTATTTCTTTAATATTTTTACAGAACAAAAGCTGAGGACATATTAAAAGATCGGCCTGATGGGTCTTTTCTTGTGAGGGACTCATCCTTTCCAGGTGCTTACACTTTAACAGTCAGGTGAGGGCCTAACCCCTAAAGTGTAGATATCATACAGTATAATATTTATCAGTTGTATCTAAAAGCCAAATGATTTTTTACTTGGCCTTTGACTACTAATAGTTTTCTGCCAAAATTAAGAAAGTCTTGAAGTATTTGGGATAAATCAAGTTACCGTTAGTCATGTTATGAAATTTTTTAGAGAAAGTTATCCATATTTTCTATAACGTTATTTGAATAAATAACACTTGAAAAATTAACCCTGTCCAGGAATTTGTCATTGATGGCCCTTCATGTATCAGTAACCACCACTGAATCAGTCAATGTAGTTTTGTTTTCATACAATTCCTGTAGGGCCCAAGGAAAACTTTGCTAGGATTCACCTGAGATTGAAGTTAGTTTTATTTTTCTTAATTTTTCAGACAAGACGGACAGAGCAGATGCCTGAAAGTATTCCAGTTCAATGATCTGTTCGGTTTAAAATTGAATGACGTGAGATTTGAGTCACTGGAAGAGTTGGTGGAGTATTACAGCCACCATTCATTGGCAGAATTCAACAGAATACTTACAACAACATTAAACAACCCGGTCCTAAAAGTAGGTCAACATTTAAGTATTTCAACATCTGTGTCCATGCTCTGTATAAAATTATGTCAATATCTGTGTTATACTCCATGGCCCTGCTAGGGTTGGTGTCCCCCCACACACACTCAGACACACACACCTTCCACGAGGGATTTCCTCTTGTTAAAATAATGTATAAGGTCCGCAGTATAATAATGAAAAGAACAAAAACAAATTAATTGAAGTTCAGGAGGTAAATGTATTTAAGAACTTTAACTTCTACATAGAATCACCCATTGGTATCAATGGAAATCTTTATTTCTCAGACTTTAGATAAATATAGCTTCCTGTTTCTTACAAAAGTTAACGAACACTTCAAGCACTGTTGAATCATGGTCAAAACTGTCTTTCTGGCCTACAATAGGGTTCCTTCATTTCTGATGCACCTACCTTGAACTTTTAATAAAGCATGCATTTGGATTGGTTATAAGTGCGGAAAATTTACGTGTGATCGGTTATCCTTTTTATGAATTTCGGTTAGACCGCGCAATGTGTGCTCTGTAAACATGCAATTTTTCAGTTTGGTGTCAACCTCTGAGATGGTCTCACCCGGTGCGGTCCGCACGCTAGCTACGCTACTGTTTATACTGCCCCTATTTATTGCTCTGCCCATAGGCTTGTCTTGTCAACATATGTTCATGATACTCCATTACACCCTGTCTAAAGTTATGTAAAAGTCAATTTTTTAAATATTGTTAGGAAAGAATTTCACAAGGAGAAATATTGCATACCATTACCATATTATAGCTATGTCTATTGATATAAATTGTTTGTGTCTATTTAATCTACTTTAAAGCTTTATCGCAGTCCAACATTCTTATAATATAAATTGTCATTGTGAAATGTTTTGATTTGTTGTTTTTTTTGCTGCAAGACTAGTGTCAAAAGGGTGAACTTGTTTGAAGCGCTTTGTTTACTGGTCGAAAATGGACGCAAGCTTCATAAGTCTAGGAAGCAGTTTAATGCCTTATTGGAGAAATATACAAAGTTAACTCAGGTGAGAGATCATGGTAGAGTTCACTATATCAAATAGTCTTTGCCAAGAAATCGACAGTGTCCTTGAGGAATCGAGGGATTTTCTAATCATTTTTTTTCCTTTTAAATTATATTGGTAATAAAATGCTGGGTGGCCGAGCAGTCTAAACTGTCTCAAACCAAATGGCTGGTGGTCTGGAGTTCAATCCCACCAAAGCCAACATCTCAAGCACTCCGGGTGGATGGGACTCGTTAGCCTTGGACGGCAACCCATCTAAGAGAAGGCAAACTCTGAATTTAAACCAGGAGCCAGAATGATCAACAAATAGATCGTGGGCCCCTCAAATATAAGAAGAAGAAGGAATGTTAAATTGGTCATTTATTTTTGTGAGCTTTCTAATTGGGTGATCGTTGTCATTCTTGCATTCCTGTCATCTTCATCATTCATCTGTCATCTTCATCATTCATCTGTCATTCCCAGCATGCATCTGTCATCCATGGCATGCATCTTTCATTCTCAGCCTTCATGTCATTCTCAGCATTCCTCTGTCATCCTTAGCCTTTATCTGTCATCTTCATCATTCCTCATCATTCCTCATCATCCTTGGCATTCTTATGTCATCCTCATCATTCCTCTGTCATCCTCAACCTTCATGTGCCATCTATATCATTCATCTGTCCTCCACATCATGATCTGTCATCCACAGCACTCACCTGTCATCCACAGTACTCACCTGTCATCCACAGTACTCCTCTGTCATCCAAAGCACTCACGTCATCCAAAGCACTCACCTGTCAACCACAGCACTTACCTGTCATCCAATGCACTCACAGTTCATCGAATGCACTCACCTGTCATCCACAGCATTCACCTCTCATCTACAGCGTTCATCTGTCTTTATGAGATGATGGTTTAGCTTACCAATAATGCTTTAGTAAACAAACAACGCACAAATAGTCTGCAACTTACGGGATTAAAATATCTGTAAGATTAAATGCAAAATTACAATACAAAACATTTTTTATATACAATAACTGCAATCATCAAAAGACAATTATCTATGTAAGAGAATACTCAGCTATAAGTTTAAATTGTACATAATTTTAAAGCTTTTGTAGGATGTATTTCTTGTAATGTATAACAAAATGGCCATCAGTTACAAAGGCTACTAAATCAATCTGTGTGAAACTATAGGCCTACTTCACTTATTCCAGGAAATTCAACTGTTACAAATGGAAGCTAAAGCCAGAGATATTGCTACAGAAATGTATGAAAGTATTCTGTTTTTGGCAAACAGGACAGATGAAGAACTGGAAGAATATGAGAAAATGGATGACAACAAAAGGAAAAAGTATTTATATATCTGTATCAATTATTTTCATAAATTTATCTCCATTATCTGACACAATGCAGTGATAAGTTTTATCAATTTCAGTAAATTACTTCCTTGTAGTCAAGGGCACACACTGTGGATTAATACAAATAAATAAATCAATGATGCATTTTCAAGATAATTTTATTGCAGGAATTTAATTTAGATCATGAAAAATATCCACTGCAAAAACATTACTCATTTCCATCACATTCTGTGAGTGTTATTAAAAGTTTTACTTAAACATAGCTCAATCAATATAAAGTTATGCTTTGAAATGGCTGAAATATTCAAGGTTATAATTAAGCCAGTGTTCCCCAATTGGTGGTCCATGGACGGGCACCGGTCTGCACAACATGGATATTTATAGCCATAGTCCAATTAAACTATGTATATTATAATATATATATATTTAATATAATTGATAAACGTCCATGTGATCCTTGTGTGATTTCCAAACTTGTCTACCAGTCCAAAACCAAACTTTAAAGTTTGGGAAATGCTGATTTAGACTTCAAGTGACATAAGTGATATAAAACAAAAACTAAGTCACAAACACAGAAATCCTTTATAAAAAAAGAATATGAATAGGTAAAAATTGACTTTTTTAAAAATTATCAAGCTCAATTTGGTAATCTAGTTTTTTACATGTTTCCCATAAATTTTTGTTTTGCTCTCTTAAAGACTAGAGGACAACAAATCATTGGCTGTGAATCGGCACATGATCACAAGCGAACTTACAAAGGAAGTGTGGAAGAAAGTGGCGAGTAAAGAAGATGAGTTGAGTCGACACAATCAGGAGACTAATGAGTTCATGTTAGTGTTGCGAGAAGCTGAAGAAGTGTGTTCCATGATAAGAGAGTAAGTCTAATTTAAGCTATGTATCAATAATTTAAAGCTGAATGGATGATTAGAGAGTAAGATGTCAATAATTTAAAGCTGACTAGATTAGAAAGTCTAATTTAAGCTATATATTAGAGTAAGTCTAATTTAAGCTATGTATAAATATTTTAAATCTGAATTGATGATTAGAGAGTAAGTCTACCTGCCACCCTGGTTAACACAAAATTGTAAAACAAATCAGATAGAATTTTTAGCCCCTTGTTATTGCAATATTTAGAAATAGCCATTGCAAGACAAATGTCAGTGGAAATTACAAATGGGAGTAAAATTGCTCGGGTAAAAAAAAAAAAAGCTTATTTTCAATCCAACACTCATTTAATTTTAACGTTAATAAAAATATTTTGAGATCATTACTGGAAATGTAACAACACAGACACACTGGGTAATCTAAAGCAAATTTAAATTCATTTATTGTGCTATAAATTAGAATTCAGCTTTGGATTCTTCTTTAAGCACTACTGTTTACTTATAAATAAAAATAATTTGTAATTATTTGGTGAAAAATTATTTCTTTGATTCCTCAGCCAGGTGCTTAACAGTGGCGCCATGCCAGAGTTAGTGGACTGTATAGTAGATGAAGAGTCATTAGAGAATATCTGGCCTCAGAGTCAGTGGCTTGTTAACTGCACCAGAGAGGATGCCATAGCCTTTCTTTGTGACAAAACAGTTGGTACTTTTCTAATGAGACCCAAGAATGAACCCCATAAGCCTTATGTTCTTTCTATCGTGTAAGTGTATGGATTTTAAATAATGATATGTATTATATATATATATATGTTTTATTATAAGACTTGAATTGGTTTTCAATGCAATGGGGAGTACTGTAAGTCTAAAGACAAGTTTGAAAGTTTCATGTGCCACCAGTGCCACCATGCTATAGTAGGCATGCAGACAAAGTCTGGGGTTCCTCTGATCTAGGTCTGGGTATGCCTTGATCTAGGTTTAGGGTTGCATTTCATCTCTGTTTAGGGGTGCCATTGGTCAAGATTCAAGTGGCAGGTTAAATATGAGATATCGGAAAGGTTAGACTGGTAGCTCTTCTCCAGAGATGTGCCCCCTCCCCCAAGACAGTAAATGACAGTGTTGCACATACAGACTATCAGACAGTGGTAGTGAATTTCAGCAAGCAACTTATCAGATTATTTTTAACTTTCAGATGCAGTAAAGATGATGAAACTTCTGATGTCAAACACTGTGTAGTATTCCACCCCCCTGGTAGAGGCTATGGGTTCCGACCAGATGGCGCTGTATTTGACTCGCTCGATGAACTAGTAGCCAAACATACCCGGACCTCAATAAAAATCTATTTCTCTCACATTGACACCTGCTTGGCTCATCCTGTGTTTGAATCGCGTTCCAGAGAAAATAGTGAACCTATCCAACAAGATGAAAATGGTTAAAAATTTCAGATAGCCTTGCTTGTTGAATTTCAAGATTTCTCAGATATTAAAGAAAATTTCAGGACCAATGTTAACTATTTATTTTATTGATGCATTTGATTAATTTGAAACAAGCTACAACTTTGATGACTGAATTATTTATCTTGTTTTGAATGTATCCTGTTAACTACCATGGCAGATGTATTTGAATGTATAATAGTCACTGCAATGACATGTTTTCGAATGCATGATACTAACTACAGTTACAGTTATTTTCAAGATCTACATTTTTTGTTCATGTTTAAGTTTTAAAAGTAATGAAACTCCGTAACTAAATTATCATTTAAAGTCATATTTAAAGGTTTTGTTATACCTGTATAATTAATTTATTTAAACTGTTGTTAATTTATTTTGAATTGCATAGAATATAATATACTGTTGTTACTTTATTTTGATTGCATAGAATATAATATACTGTTAAAATAATGAAAGTGCTTCTTTGCAGCAGCTGATTTCTGAGAAAAAAATTTACATTTTTTAAAATGTTTCATCTTACAAAATTTAAAACTTACTTAATCACTTGTTATGTACCATCCATTTATTAAATTATCAAGTTCTATTTCAAGACATAATTTAGTCTGTCATCATAACAAAGACTATGGATTAACTTGCTTTGTTTGCAGTGCTGAGCTTAACGCAACTCAGATGTAGTCCATCCATAAAAACATCCATCCGTCCCTAATATCCATTAAACATTCCTGTTTTTTTTTTATCGATGTAAATCAAATCCTTGGTTTTTTCACACAAAAAATTATTTTGCTTGTGATTGCAGAAGACTTGCAACTCATTGTTTAAAATATAGAATAAGTCTTTTAATCTTATGGGGTTAGGGTTGAAATGGTCAGTGGAGGCACTAGTAGGTGGGTTGAGGGTTGTGTCAGCGGTGGAACAAGTGGGGCTTAGCTTTGGGTCAGTGGAGGAACTAGGTGGGTGACAAATTCACATCAATATCATCTTGCTAACAAAGCCAATAATTTCAGCTTAGTGCCTATAGGTTTGAGATGTAGCCTTAGCCAACATGGCTTGCCATATGTTGGTGTTCATTTTCCCTCAGGTCATTCTAATAACTGCAGAGACTCATCTCTGAAAATTCCTCCAGTCCAGCATCACCCTGCTTTTGTTCTTTTGGCTCTGCTATGGGTGAGACATGACTGCGAGACATGACTGCATTTGTATTAGTTTGTTTACACTCTAATTGTTCCTATTTCATTTCCAGCATAATGTTAATATATTTTGGATATTTTTCTTTTTGTTACAGGACTCGGCTGGTTGACCAAGGAAATAAATATTTGAATTGATTAATGCTTTTTTCTTTTTTTTTTGTGTAATGTTTCCCTTTTTGGAAATAATTTATTAAAAATATTAGTCCACAATTTTACAAGTTGATCATTGACAAATAATCTGACAGCTTTTGCTAAAACTTTTTTTCTTTCAACCTCCTCTCTCTCTCTCTCCCCCTCCATTATTTTCAACTTTTTATTTCTTTTAGCCTGACACTGTTGAGCTTGGGTGTGATTACAAGAATATACAGTATAATAAATTGGTGACAAAGAATAAAAAAACAAATTTCAAGGGTACTGATTAAATTAAAATGACTTTTAATACTTAAATCCTAAACATTCCAGAACACAGATTACACTCACCAAGTAGAGTCCATGTCAATATCATTACAAGTAAAAGAGAAATGGCATTAACATTAAAAACAAGAAATGAAATAAATAAAAATAACATGAAATCACAGCAGCACTTCACTGGAGCACGGGAATGTACTTGTATATTTAATGGAGAAGGAAAGATCACTACTTGATCAAATCCTTAATTAAAAGTATGTAGTAAGAGCATTAGAAAAATGACTTCATAATTTCTCTTTTCTTGGTAGTAAATTAATTTTTTTTTTTTTTAAAAGCACATTTACTTAAGTCAATTTCATAAATAGGGTTTATCATTTCTCAGATCGGAAAACATAGCATTACTATTTTTAGAAAATCTGACAAATATTTCTTAAAACGTGGCAGCTAATAGTGTGTTTCAGCATAACATTCGGAAGATCCATGTATTAGAATCACTGTTACATGTGCGTACGCGCAATGAAGTGCCGTTTCACAAAATGTATATTCTTGAATCATAGCAATATAAAAAAAAAAAATTAATGTGTAAAATAGTTATAAACAAGTTTTGATTTAGGTTAAGGGCCTCTTCGCTAACATAGTAGTACTGAACAGTGTTGACATTTTGTCCGACCTAAGTACCCAGATGATTACAGCAGTTCTACTAATAGATTTCCGCCATTAAATGACAAACCGTATAGATTTATGAAAACACTTCCAAAAATTTCTGGGGCAAAAGGTAAATATTTTTTTTTTTGTTCAAAATGTTTTTACATGACTTACGTTGCATGATAACAGTTGCTGCAATGTTTTAGCTGTCACAGACGTGAAAATACTTTGTCAGACTAGACTTAAAACAAAGATTACTACTAGAGTCAATGTCGACAATACAAGGGTTTGGACTCCTTCGTACAGCAGCTTGGGTGAGAACACACTCCATACAAACAGGTGGTAGCGCTGTGCAGATACCAGGGATGTGTACACAGAAAGTAATAAAGCACGGCAAAGTAGCATGGTGTCACCCGACCTCATAATTTGACACGAGATCCTAAAATATTAAATTTAAAAATACAACTGTAATGAGTGGGAAAAAAAGTTTTCATTTTTTAACTATTATTTTCAATGCATTAAAAGAAAATTCAAAGCAAAGCATTGTTTTTTAAATTTGTTCTTGAAAGCATCACCTGTTACAGGTACTAAACAAGTCAGATATTTTAAAGCTCAAGATAATTAGAATTTGATTCTTCTCTAATTTTATTAAAATATTTTAAAATAAAAGCATAAACATCTCTTTTAGATATGTACTAGAATATATGACCCGATGTTATCAGGATAATGGTAGGTCCTTTGTGATAATTTCTACCTGCTATTGCAAAATCTCATCACACTTCCTAACTTAAAGAATAAGTATCTATGTAATGATATTTACATTTCTATCATTAAGTTTTGAGAAGTATTTTATCTGCTATATATTATACGTCTACCATACAACCTCTCATGCCCCTAAAACTACTTTTTTTCCCACCAAACATGACCTTAAATTACCATATCTAAATTATCACTAATTATATCATTATTATCACTAAAGAAGTCAATTGAGGGAAGATTTCTAAGCTAGAGAAATACTACAGATGTCATGTGTTTTTAAATTGTTAAATGTTGTGCCTACCCTACCCCTTTTCGTGCCCTTGAACTACAATTTTTTTTCCTCTAAAAATTGTGAAAATATATTTTTAAATTTAAAACAAAAACTCTATATATTATACATTTATTTTATATTAACATGAATTTTATATATTGATATCATCAAAAATTTAAACAAACTTGTTTTTTTACTTATACATTATTGGAAAACAAATAATTCTTTTATCTAAAGAAGAATCTCGCAACCGTTTTTTTGTCTGTAACAGACTTAAGGGTCTTTTAAAAAAAAAAAGTTGTTAATCTCATAAAAATTCTCACCAAATTTACTTTTCATAAAGTAAAAACAAAAATATATTTAAATTTTTGGAAAAAAAAAAAAGAAAGAAATTAACTCATCTCTATTTTTTTTAAATTTAATTTTCAAGTGTGTAATATGATTGGGTTTGGATATTTATGTGTAAACTTATGTAAATATACCCACGTTTTGTTAACGCCGTTGATTTTCTTAATTGGTCTACATACATTTATTTGTAAAAAGAGAACGTAATGATTTAAACATATTGTCATCCACGTAAAAATATAAACATCCTTTTTTTATACACCCGCTATGCATGTAACTAAGAAGGTTCATTATTGATCAAATTCATTTCTTTATTCTGAGACGTATCTTGTGCTGCCTGGGGCAAAATGAAAGTATTGACCAACCCCGCAACCGTCCCCCCAGATTTTAATAAAATTAATGAAATCTTCCACCGGATTGTAGTCCCATCCATACGCTATCACACATTTTTTGCACTTCACATGGTTTGTTCTTATTTGAATGAGTTATAAGTGCATTAGTAAATGCTATTTAGCTATGGAGTTTCGCTGCAATGATTGACTTAAACGGCATTTTCTTATTATAAGTATATTTAAAGGTTAAAATTTTATAACTTTATGAATTAAATAAAAGTGTGTTTTAGGAATTAGAAAAGTAACATTTATAAATGTTAAAAATACAAAGCTTACATACACTAAAAACAATTGATTTGGGGTTTTCCAGATAAATGTGATTATGGTGTATTCTTTGATTACAATTTTGTTATTTTATTTTTTTTCCATAACTTTCAAAGCATATAAAATGCTTAAAATAGTTCCTTGGTTTATACTTTAAATATATTTGCAATTTATAGTAATAATACTTAAACTTTTACTCAAATAAGAGTAAATATATAATATTTTTTGCCCATTTAATTCATTTGATTTCCGTAAAATAAAAGAAAAAAACTATGATCGTTTTTAAGAATCCGAACGTATTTAAATATTTTCGGTTCTTTGGCGTTCCGGTCAGCATAGCTCATTCTTATATATATTACGCTTCTGGTGTGATCCGTGGACTGCTTCCTAATCAGCGAATTTGGTATTGAGAGTATATTACAAATAATTAAAAATGTTTGAAAGAAAGTATGGTTCAATAATGAGTTCAATAGCGTGCAAAGTATAATTCCTGATAACTACGCATCGCAAGTTTTTTTTTATATATGACGCAACTGCGTTTCGCGCATAATATTTTCTTTTTGGAAAATGACATCGTCTCAATTTAAGAGAGGTGTAAAAAACATTAGGTTTAAAAGTGGTTGGGAATCAGAATATTTAATATAGTTCATGGGCGTGCAGTAAAAGGCGTGAAGTAAAAAGTGTGCAGTGAGGTATCATGGGGGCAAGGGGTTAAGCAAAAATTGGGATTCTTAACTGTGCATTACTTGAGTTCATGTGTTGTCAAGTAACTTTAGTAGATGGGAAGTTCACACATTGCTGTCGCCAATGTTTGGCGGGCTATATCTAGTTGAACAAATATTTACATTTTTTTTGTATAGTTGTACCAAAACTGCTTCAGCTTTACAGGAATACGTCCCCATGTCTCATATTAAAGACCCATTTCATTTATTTTTAAAAATTCCACCCCTCATGACGTGTAAAAAAGAACTAGGTATTAAAAGTGCCATGAGTGCCATTAACCCAAGCTACATTTTTTGATGAACTAAAAGCTGACAAACCTTGACCTGTCTTTTTCCTTGCTCTCATACATCAAACTCATCACTTTGAGAAATGTCAACATCCAGAATATGGTTCCACTGTAAGTGGCCAAACAGAGAAGAGGTCCGGTCACTGAAGGAATATATTCACTTAGGCCAGTGTAACCTGCTGTCAGATCCACTGTGCTGAGACTGTTTGAATTACCCTGTTGATATTTCAGTGGTCTTTAATTGTCGAACGAATTTGGCGATTCCCCAAAAATCTCTTCATATTTCTTTATTGCCTTTATGGCAAAGTTTCCTCGTAATTAATTTATGTTAAAAGCCTTGTTTACTTGTCAAAGATAAAGGTATCGAAGAACTTTCCTTTTTTTTATTTATTTTATTTATTTATTTTTTTTTATTTACTGATTCTAATAAACTATTTTAAAGTTCTCCTGCCCTACATTAAAGTTAAAGATTGCAACACAGCAATAAATACATTGATTTTTATGATGGACTCTTTGGACCAGCTAATCAAAACCTAGACAAAAAAATTAACGACAACCATGACCAACCAGTCTCCAATCCTTTCTCAGGCAAATACACACAAAAATTATGTTCTGCAGATACACACAACTGTTCAAATAAGGGTTGACAAACCTGAAAAAAGAAAAAAGCTTGTCCCATCCAGTGACAATACAACAGGATGTAAGATGGTTTCATGCCAGTTGCCAGGAGCACAGGTGTCATCATCTGATCCATCAAGGAGAGCATGGCAACCACTGGTATGTTGTGAGGACGTAGGACTAGACACATGAAACAGAGGAAAGCAGAACTCAGGCCATTTAACCTTTGGTGTATGTTCATATCTCTAGTGTCATCTGCAACCTTGTCTGTGCCGGGCCCAGCTGGGCTGCATGTTCTTACAGTTGTTTCTTGATTACATAAAAGATTCTGGGAGTCAGAGGGAGATTCCATGGTGTGACTGAGGTCACTGGTTTTGTCAGCTTTATTTACATGCAATATTTTCTTGGATTGAAATTTTGATTCAGTTGGTTTGAGAACCTCCATTTTGGGAGTGCTTTCAAGTTGAAAAAAATTACTTGGAAGAAAAGTCATAAGGAGGATAACTCCAATCAAAATAAATGATGCTCTTGCTTCCATTATGCCCCTGTAATGGAAAGTGGGGATTCTTGGAAAAGCAACTTAACTTGAAGACAAAAAAAAAACAAAAAAACAAAAAAAAACCAATGTTAGAAAGCCTGATTCAGAGTTGTAGAAAAACAAATTGTCTAAAAAATAAAAAACACTTTCTAATAACAGTTTCATGATCTTAATTAATGTTTTGTTTTTAATTTAAGTTCAGCAACAATTACATAATCATTGAAATAGTTCTTCACAAACTTTAACATTATCGATATAGTGGTTATGATGCAGATGTGTTAACACTGAACAACAGTGCCAAATCCAATCTGCTTAACATAGGATGTCACAAGTGTAAACTGTAGCAATTTCTAGAAGATAAAAGCACTTTCAGTTCTATTTTTGTAATTAAAAAAAAGTTAATTAATATTTTTAATTGATCACCAAGAGACACTGATAAGTGCAAATAGTAAGTTACCTTTGTGACAGAAACCATGAAGCTGGAAAGAAAAGACTGCCACCTGCAACACGGTAAAAGTAGATTGTGGTGAGGGCCAAGTTGATAAACATGCTCTGCACCCGCTTTACCTGCCGTGCCCTGGTGGCTCCAATTATCATCAAAGAGAAGATCACAGACAAGGAAAGGTAGTTTTTGTTTTCAGTTCTGGAAATAAAGTTGAAGAGAAACTTTAAATCAATTTTAAAAATTTTACACAAAGATCCATTAAGAAACCAGTTTTATAATAATGGCCAGTACAACTTTAAAATATTTCAGTAACTGTTTAATGTTAAAAAATTCATTGCATGGACGTCTCACCCCCATGCAATGAATAGGGTGATAAAATATTTGGATTGAAAGAAAATAATTGAAGCTTCAAGTAATGTGTTAATAACCAGGTTTTAAGTACCTGTATCATTATTAAATGACTTAACTGGTTAACTAACATGAGCTGGTGGTAGTGGCTCTGTGTTTCTTTCGTTATGGCCACAAGCCACTGGTAGCGCCAACGTTTGTATTGTAGTAAATGCTGTCAAATATTTATATTATTCCGTTCCTGTTTTGGTTCAAGATTTTAATTTACAGACAGAATGTTTATTTTCTAACCACATGCTGTTAGCAGAAGGTTTTAAAAAACGAGCAGTTAATTAATTTTGATTTAATTTCTGAGCTAGTTACAAAATTGTACAACTTGTTTACTGTGGCAACAAGTGGCAGGGTTACTAAATGCCAATAAGTAATTGGAAGTGTAAATGTTATTCAATTTCTGTGTGCTTTAGAGAATTTTTCTTATTATTGGATATACTATTTGGTAACCATCAAATAAAAGACTTTAAGTTTTAAGTGTTTTGGAAATTTAAAACTTGTAGGTAAGCCGGCACATTTAGATATTTTTTATCAAAAATGAATACTTTCCTACCAGAACTTAAATTTACAAATGTTCTAAGTTTATCTTATAGACAATTCATTTACCCACAAAAGGGTTTCTTAATCATTAGAATATGTTTATAATTAAGAAAACTGCAGCTGAATGTGTACATACACCTTCAATGAGAAAATGTGACCTAAATTTAATCCGGCCACAGCCTGATTTTTTAATCTGGTAGGTCATCAGTTAAATTACTAACTGTTAATATTTCTGTCCTGGAAACAAATGACAAGTTGACTACTTACAAAATGAGCCAGTCACCAATGTCTGGTGTATCTAGCCACTTGTTGCCTGTCTGGTTCCACCTTCGCAGGATCCTCAACATTGCAATCACTACGGCAACACTAATGGAAAGGTGAAATAACTCAGAATGAATCAGAGCTTTTAATTTCTCTAGGCACTCTTTCCCCTTTTTCTTTCCACCCCCACTTGCTGTTTTCGATTTCTTCTGTAACGTTCTTGTAGACCCGCCATCTTGTTTAAGATTTTTTTTAAGCACTGAAAAATCAGTAAAATCCAAATCATCAATCTCATAATTCTGTTCACATGAGTTGTCTACATTTCTTAGCTGCCTGGAAAAGTCTTCATCTTTGGAGAATTTATTTTCCCCACTTTGACAAGACTCCTTGACAGCGGGAGTCTTGTCAGTGGCATAATTTTTGTTAATGGTTTCAAGAATTTTAGTGTTGAAAGACAATGGCTTTGTACTCCCAGTTGATCCTAGTTGACTCCCATGACCTAGGCCAAGAATATGGATGACCAGCCACATCATACAGAGGAGGTGGACAGTAGTTGTCAGGAAGTAGTAAGTCTGATGCTCCTCCTCCACAAAGCTGCTTGATAAAAGTGTAAATGTATGGGTCACAGTGCCAGCTGCAAGGAATATTTCGAGCAGACTTGTCTTTCTTCTCCATACCTGAAAATAGATTTAAGAGGGCTAACTTTATACAGGCTATACTTTAAAGAAAAACAACATATATATATATAACACTTGTAGAATTGTACAGACGTATCAATGATTGTCTTTGTAAATACTATTTACATTTTACATACTGTAACATAATGATATTTGATGTTGATTTTCAGTTGAGTGAAAAAGCACAATTTAGTGTCAGATTAGTCATGCATAGATATAAATTTAGATAAGGAGGAACTACAAGAGTAGCCCTTTTGTATTGAATGAAAAAAGCGTTTTTGAAGTTTCGATCTCATGTTATTTTCTAAAAGAAATGGATTTATTATGACTGAACTGTGTTTAATCATCCTTTTATTATTCGTCAGATGTGTGTATTCTGTGTAGTTTTATATGAAAATAAATAAGTGATATGGGAATTCTTGGACTTTGTATTATTACTGTTGTGAGAAATAGTTAATAGTTAACCCACTAACTGATATTCATTGAGGTATATGCTTTGGCCATAACACCTTATAATAACAGTAACAGCGATATCAGTATAGGAAGAAAGGTTACACATACAAAACAATTTTTGCCTTATTAATAGTTCTTTTAGACTTACCTGAAAACAACAATCGGTTATCTATACTTTTTTTATTGGGTGTTTTTACATATAAAAATAAATAAGTCACCTTAATATTGAATTGACAGTTCAGAATAGTCGTCAAATAAGAATAATGTTGTTTTTTTTAACTCTTGTTTTAAGCATCAGGTTTGATGACAAGGAGTGGTCTCTGGTCAGCTTAAACTTAAAACTTAATCTAACTTAACATTGATAAGATAATGTTTTATTAAAAATGTATTTTAACAATTTGTCTTACTTTAATTTGTGAAAATAGTGTCAAGCATCTTTGCCATTCTTTCAGTAAGTACAAGGAGCATGTGGCAAAGATGGCAGCAACAGTCAGTTGTACACCAATGCTTAGGAAGCTTGAACTACACATCAAATCACTGGGCACACCACCTAAAAGATATTGGTGAAAAATGACAGGATTTATACATCAAATTACTGGGCTCACCATCTAGAGGATATTGGTGAAACATGACAAGATTTACACATCAGGCTACTGGGCTCACCACCTAGAGGATATTGGTGAAAAATGACAAGATTTACACATCAAATTACTGGGCTCACCATCTAGAGGATATTGGTGAAAAATGACAAGATTTACACATCAAATTACTGGGCTCACCATCTAGAGGATATTGGTGAAAAATGACAAGATATACACATCAAATTACTGGGCTCACCACATAAAAGAAACTGGTCAAGTATGAATAGATTTTCTTTTTCAGCATAAAGAACAGACATATTTTAAGATTTTTAGAATTAAATGTGTTATTGTACCTACAAGTTAAAATTATTAACATGTACATGTATACAATTTAAGTAATTAAAAATGACTTGTACACAATCAAATTTGGATACACAGATTATTCTGGAATTGGCTGCATAAAATTAAAATACATGATTCTGTATAGGGTGTGATACAAAATTGATACAAAGCTTTCAACTATCAAGTTAATGTAGCATGATATGGTAAGATAAATTACATGTTATATAAATAGACAAAAATTGAAACTATTTTTTTAAAGAACAAGTATCAAAATGCAAGAATTAAATAATTATGAAGAAAAAGAAAGACAATTATGAAATAAACATCAAATTATTATATCTGGAGTTAAACTTGTAATACATTTTCACAAGTTTACATTTATCACCATGGGAATCCACTAAGGATGGCTTATTATTTTTAAAGTCTGATTAAAATCTTCAACCAACAGATTCATTATTTAAGCTTGCTAATAAAAATCTCAAGAGCCTCGGAAGCCATGCTAAACTTCTTCTAACTCTATAACTTAGTAAAAACAATTGATATTTTTCCATGGCAGCAAATTTGCCTAGGGCCCTGATTGAACATAATACGATTTCCAAGGCAGTAACATTGCCTATGGCCCTGTTTTTCTATGCACTACAGCAAAAGATGTTGTGCAGTGGGGTGGGCAGATGAGTTTGGGAAATTAAAAGAACTGCACTTAAAACACTAATGAGTTAAACTCAGCTTAGCTCATAAAGTGGCTTGTAAATATTTAACCTCCAAGCCAGGCCGTGTATACAAATAATTATCTCTAAGTTAGAGGTGTACCTGTGCACATCGTGATGTGTGTCAGTAGGGCAGTGCCACTGGTAATACTCAAACGAGTCATATGAGTTGATAAGGAAACAGACACAAGGTTGGGACTTCTCTTCATCTGACTCAATACAAACGTAACTAGCAACTGGTGGACAGTGAAAAAAAATCATAACCAAAATAACCTGTAAAAAAAAAAACACAATCTAACATAATATATTTGGTCTTTTAGATCTGCTGTTTTTCTATGCACTACAAGTGTAGTGCTTTTCATCGGTTGATAGGTTATAGAGTGCTCTCCCTTGTCACATGAATATAAAAATTTCTATAAAAAAAAAATTGGTACTAAAATATCTAGAATTTTATACAAGGGATACATAATTTCATGCAATATAAAATAAAAAGGTAATTAAATATTGAATTAAAGTTCAGAGTTATATGAATTCTACAATGCATTATTTTGACTGTCTGGTAAGAGATTATTTTTCAATTGTTAACCAACCATTTTCCTCCAAAGTATATGGCTTTTTTTATGTATGTATGTATGTATGTATGTTTCCCTCTAAAGTACATCTCTTTATTTATGTATGTTCCCTCTAAAGTACATCTCTTTATTTATGTATGATTCCCTCTAAAGTACATCTCTTTATTTATGTATGATTCCCTCTAAAGTACATCTCTTTTTATATGTATAACAATTAAGAGAAGTTGCATCACACATGCTCTGGAATAGCATATTTTGGAATGGACCACATTAGGGTATGAGGTATCCACATCAGTAAATACAGGACCATTACATAGACAGTAGTTGTAATAATAAACCTTGAGGAGGTAAACAAGGAGGTTTGCTTATCTTCCACTACATACCATCCACAACAAAACCATAGCTATGGCCATAGAGTAAACATCATACTGTGTTGCCACAGACTCCACCTTCTTGGCTAACAGACTCAGACTTTCAGAATACAAGACCAATAAAGAATTGCCAAGCTCCTCCCATGAATCCTGAGCTGTGGAGTTTTTAACCAGCAGCCAGTCCTGATGCTGCTCTTTGGCTTTCTTATACAAAATGTAGGCTGAATCTGGGAGGAGAAACACAAAGAGCATTTGATGAAATTTCTAATAGCAAATAAGACTTTTAAGCATGAAAATTATAAAATAGTCAAATTTTTGTTTTCTTTTTAAAAAAAAAATCTAATAAATACTTTAAATGGAAAAACTATTATCGAATCTTGCCTTAACGATTCAAATAAAATCATTACTTAAGAAGGCAATAAATTAAATAATGGTTTATTATCACAAAGAACTAAGCGAAAATGTTGTGTACACTTTAAAAAAACAAAAAGTCAAGAGCTTATCTGTAAGATTAACCTATGTTGTCTACCTTTATCTAAATCTTTTAAATAGCTCTTCAACACCTGAATAGCTTGTTTTGCATTCCGATGCATGATGGAAACTTTTTGGGAAATGCTGAAGCCAAACAGAGTTTCTGTCACAACTTTACCAATGTTGTTTTTGGGAATCGGAAGACCCATGAGTACTGAAATAGTTGGGCAAAGGTCAACTTGGGAAATAACTCCTGCATGTCTCGGGTCTGAAATAAATACATTAAACAAAACAGAATAATTTAGTGCCAATTATAAAACCATCTAAACATTATTGATTTTTAAAAAAAAAGAACTGTTTCTGCATGGTTTTACACAATTAGGATACAAAGGTTGACCTTTCATTTGGCAAAATCACCACTCTGCTTCATCAAATTAATTATTACTTTTCATTTCCAAGAGTAGTTTGCTTTGAATTAAAGTACTGACTCCATTCTGCCACTTTTGTCTCCTTGTGGATAGTTTTAAAGTTTTAATTCACTTCTGGTAGCTAAAAGAATTTTCTCTTGGAGTTAAAGTCACAGGCAGAGCAAAAATATGAGGATAAATAGATTCAATGGTCAAGTTGTACAAGTATGTTTTACACCAGGCCCTAAATATTGTCTGGTTTGGGAAATCAATTCCAACTGTCACCCCCTGTCAGAAGCCCTCTACCTCTTTTATTACTAAGTAATTCCAATTTTGTTACACGTTGACACTAAAATTGTTTATTGATGTTATTTCGCTCTTTTAAAAAACATTCTGTTAATGCAATCGTGGTGTATTAATGGTTTATTACCTTTATTTTTTATTTGAGGACTTAAGAAAAGAACTGGTACAGAAATCTCTCCAGCTGATGCACCACCATGTCCTCCCTGATCACTCATACCATGATCTCCACAAATCACTAGAAGGCTGGGCTCATTCTGGAGATATTTTTTAAAGTTACTGAACAGTTTAAAGTAAACCTTAAGCGTGAAAGAGAATATAAATTACATCTAATTGATTGGCATTACATGTAACATTTTCCTTGAATAAAAATAATCTTTAAATGGGGATAAAAGGAAATAAAGGAAGTAAAGATAAAGTAAAACTACCGGTTGTCGGGACTTACAATTACTTGTACTAGAATTTTATTTTCAAATCAGCTGCAAGTCTATTATTAATTTGACATTATTTTCATTATAGGAAAATACTGTGTTGACTTTATGAATGTGTCTTTACGCTCTTATGTTTAATCTTTAATGCAGAGATTCCACTTAATGAGTTATTTATTCAAACTTCAAACACAGCAGGACCTATATCCTCAGCACAATTGGAAAATGCAGCTTGTGGTATGATAGTAATATTTAGGTCACAACTAACAACATGACTTGAAGCAAGTTAAAGTTTTGACGCAACATTTAGTATAACTAAGTGTTGTTACAAAGTAAAGGCATGATAAAACTATGAATACTTGCTGCTTTAAGTGACTTATAGCAGAGAAAGTTCATGAAAAATGCGCTCATTGATTTAAAGGGTAATAAATTTGATAAGAAAAGGATTAGATTGAAAGCAAAATAGATATTGATCATGAAGATCATTAGACAAAGAGTGATAAAATATACGCTTTGGTTTTAAAAAATAGCAAAATGGTCTATACTTGGCACAAGTTCTTTGCGAAATAAAAAGTGTGAAAAGGGATCATATTATTTCCAATAAGTAACCATTACAGTTTTCTCTATTTGATAATCAGTATAAAACTAAAAATAATGCTATCAAAAGTTTAAATTAATTAAATAAAATTAATATTATACTTAAAAAGAAAATTTTTGCTTTGCTTGTTTGTCTGTGTGTACTTTTTCCTTTAAGATAGAAAGTTCAGGAGTCAAAGGCTCAACGGGTTAAGTACTTAAGTGTCCATTTGTGTCGCTTTTTTCATTAAAAAAAAATAATAATTCATTTTTAAAACCCTCTATGGTCAAACATGATATAAAACCAAGAACTATGGAATATTCCTTACCCACTGATTCATAGTAGCATAAATTTGTTCAACAACAGAATCCATTTCAGCAAGCTTTGGTCTGATTAAAGGGCTGCTTGGTCCACTGATGTGACCTATATGATCTAAGCCAAGGTAATGTAAAATCATGACATCCCAATTGGGATTTGATAATTCAGGTCCCAGATGACGAGTCACATTTATATCTACCTTTTAAAACAAAAACAACAAAAATCATGCTTAGGCAATTTTTTAAGTAAAAACAATCAAGTAAGCAATCTATAGGATTTAACAAATTTTGTTTTATCATCCATTGTTTACTTTACTATTTATGGCATTCTAAACAAATTTCATTAACGGGCTTAAAACATTTTTAGCCATTTTCCAGGCTTTATTGCATAATTCTATAACTAAGAAAATCTTTAAAGAGAACTTAAATTCAAAAATTAGTTGTAAAAGAACTGAAAAACTTTAAAGAAATTAAGTTAAATCATGAACCTCTTTGTAGTCAGAAACAAAGAAGGATGTTGTCCCATCACTTCTGTCAAAATATCCTGGAAAGAGGCGCAGCCATGTGTCATCTCCAAAAAATATAATTTTCCGTCCATCCATTTTCATCTGAGCAATTATGTTATCCTCATCCAAGGATGATGCTCCAAAATTTAAAACTACATCCACAAAACTTGGTGTGCTGCCAGTTGTAATTGCCTGATTAAAAAAAAAATGTCAATAAATGAGGAAAACATTAGCTTAGTTGTTACAGTGTTAAATTCTTTTACCATCTAAGGTCGCCTGAAAATTAAGATAGGGCCTATAGCTAAACAAGTCTAAGATTGCTGGTAGAGTATAGTGAACTATAGAATCTCCATCCACTATGTGGTGGACTCTCTATAAATATTGGTCACCCCTTACATTTATAAATTATTTTTTTTACATTAAAAGTCTAATAATATGTCATTAAAAACACAACAAATATAGACACCAAAATTTAAACATATTTTATATAGTTGTAATATAATGACAATGGAATTTTGTTGATAAAATGACATGCCCTATTTACAATAAAGAAATTCAACCCTGGGAATCCCAAATCATATCAAGGTTTCACCCTGCACTGCAAAATACTCATTTTGAATCTGTCTGTGCGTAGGTCTATTTTCTCCACCCTTCAAGATCATTTTAATGATTGTTTATAAAAAAGACATTACAGAGTAGGATTACACTTAGAGCAGCCTTGATGATAGTTAGATTTTTTTGACTTAGTCGAGGGTAGAAGGTAGCATAATAACTTGAGTTTGAACTTATCAGTCTTATCTTAACTTATGACTTATGTCCTTATTCTTATGTCACTTATGGTCAATGAGTTCATTTATTTTTTTTAAAGTCAAAGCACTCAGTGCAGTCTCAAGTTCAGGCCTTGGGCTTGAGTTATGAAAACAGTATGTCCAAGTGTGCAGGACATGTTGCAAAAATGCCAGACAGCAGATTGTCTAAAAAACTAATGTACTGTGAACTTTCCAAAGGGAAACACTCTGCTGGCAGAGCCGGCCTTAAGGGTGTGCCATCTGTGCCCTTGCACAGGGCGCCACGGCAATAGGGACGCCCAGTAAATATCCCAGTAAATTATACTGAAGTGTGAACCTCAGGTCCGGGGTCGACAAACGGTATTCTAATTTTTCGCACAATCCCTTTTCATACAATGATTTTTCATACAAAGAAAGTTGCATTCTTAATTTGGATACTAGCACTGGGGTTAGGACCAACCAAAAGTGCGGGGAAATTAATTTATTAATACCATATTTCCTTGTCCCTCTTACAATTATTTCAGCAGAAAGAATATGGGAAACAAAAAGAGTTGTGGGGCGCAAAATCGCAAGCGTATAGCAGAAAAGGTACATCGTAATCGGAAAAAGAGCAGAGCCATATACAGGGACAGGGAATGGGACGCCGAACCGGTGCTTCACACAGGGCGAAAGTTTACCTAAGGCTTAACTTTGACGCCCTTTATAAGTATAATCATTAAAGGATAAAACTAGTTATTCGGTAATGAGTTTATTACCTATTTTGTTGTTTTTTTAACAAATAATGAACAGTTCTGGCCCCTCCCTTCCTCCCCCTTGTCAAAAATTGTCAAACGTTTCCAACACACCCCCCCCCCTACCATTTTGATGACATAATAAATGGACGACCACCTTTAATGATTATACATATAAGGGGCGCCAAAGTTTCCTATTTTGTTGTTTTTTTAAAAAATAATGAACAGTTCTGGCCCCTCCCTTCCTCCCCCCTGTCAAAAATTGTCAAACGTTTCCAACACACCCCCCCCCCCTACCATTTTGATGACATAATAAATGGACGACCACCTTTAATGATTATACATATAAGGGGCGCCAAAGTTAAGCTTGCACAGGGCGCCAGCAACCCTCAGGCCGGCCCTGCTGCTGGTAGGCACAAAAAATGCTTTAAAGATTTTCTTAAGGGTTCCTTTAAACCCATGGACATCAATCTGAGCTAATGGGAAACACTTGCTTTTGATGGCACACACTGGCAAGAAGGACTCACTGCTGGTGCACAATCTTTTCACTCATGCCCAAAACAAGTGAGCAGCAAAGAAAAGTAGATATGGCCTACAGTCTACCAGGGCATTGGAGCTGGCTCCACCGGCTCCAGAACGGAATAGAGCCGGAGCTGCCCGGAGCTAGTGATTTCACTTGTACTGGAGCTGGAGCAAAAATATTTGCTGACATATTTGGCTCCAGCTCCATGTCAAATATTCTATTCCAACTACAGAGAGAGGCTATTTTCTGCACTTAAGTTTATAGTGGGCGATTTGCGTTCTTCGCTCATACCAGATATTTTGGAAAATATTTTATTTCTGAGGATGAATCAAGATTTTGCTGATTAATAAAGTTATACCAGCATTATTATACTTAATTAAGTTATTTTCCTTTAAATATAATAAAAAATGTTTTACTATGTTATATGTACATTTATTTTGATTTGTTTTATTATTCGGAGGCGCTCCGGAATCAGAGCTGGAGCCGGAGCTTTTAATGGAGCCGGAGCTTTTAATGGAGCCGGAGCTTTTAATGGAGCCGGAGCTTGGAGTCGGAGCCAATTTTAAACTTCTGCTCCAATGCCCTGCAGTTTACACTCTCTCTACTCTATAAGTATAAGTCTAGGAGTAAGACCCAAGGCCAAAGACATGTGTGTCAAACATGCAGACACATGTCAAACCACCTGCATACTCACTGTCGATATGGCCTTAAAATAGACTTGGTCATCTTCGGAAGGAGAAACAAAAATTAGTATCACTAATATATAATAATATAATATTAATAATACATGGTTATCATTTAAAAGTAAATTAGACATATGTAAATGTATGAGTATGAATGATGATTAATAATAAATAAAAATATTTCAGAAAATGAATTGAATTTAAAGTAATTTACCTTAATTCGTGGCAAAGTAACAGTAGGAGGGTGAACCTCTGCTGTGAACTGCAACCCATTTCCTTGACTCAAAATTCTCTGAGTCTTGGGGAAAAAATTAAGGGGTCCAAATGCAAAATCTGCTCGAAATGCATCGATTATCATAAAAATAAGTCGCCGGTATTTAGGAGTAGGCGACGTATGATACTCAGAATGTTTATCCTTGTTGACAGAGTATCCCCCAGAAACTTGTTTGAGAGGGAAAAAACCTTTAATAAATATGAAAAAAGCAATGTTAATCGCAATGCAACCAAAAATAAAAATAAATTTCATTACGACGGTGCTTGCCTATCGTTTTTCTATTATTGTTTATTTTTTAAAGGCCGGCACTACGTATACCGCGGCGGTGTACCTAGGAAAATCCATTGGATTTGGTACACCGCTGCGGTACACTTAGCAAACCAATGGTCTTTGTCAGTCCTGTTAACTGACCGGTAATTGTAAATTTAATGTTGTACTCTTCTTAAAGAAAAAAGCTAGTAGTTAATAATCTATTTTTGTTTTAAAATGCTTTAATATCTTTATTTTTAATTTATTTTAATTTGCGCATGGCTCAAGTCTTGCGGGAACGCAAGGGAACGACATGGAAGTTATTCCTGTAACTCGAATACTTTTTTTGCTACGAAATATACCTTTTTTTTTAGGGGGGGGGGGTGTTTCAGATATTTGTTAAGTTCCCACACATTTTTAAAAGTTACTTGTAAGAAGCATAGCATTAGTGTTTTTTTATGGTTGTATCGGGCCGCTTCGTAAGTATGTGATTAACACGCATTTTAAATCACAAATTGTGGCGTGCCCCACCACAAGGAGAAAAATTTGAAGATTATAGGAGGGCATATAATAGTCTCTGTGCAGTGGCATAGAATAAGGGGGTTGGATAAGTGGTCCGCCTAGAGCATCACATTTCTTCTTTAAGTGGAGAGGCCCCATTTTTAGCTAACGCTAACTGTAACTACAGTCAACGAGAGAGTTTTTCGTGACAGTGGGTGACCAAAATATTGCCCCCCCCCCACCCCTTTGGGGAGCGGGGCCACATGAGCCACAGCTCTGCGATAATAGGAAATATATTTGTTTCAAAATGGAGTTTACCGATTTAATGTTTTTAAAATAAATTGGATACATTTATATATTTTACTTATTGTAAGTTGTATGCTATGTCTAAAAGGCAGCTAATTAGAAAAATCTTCTTTACGACAGCATGATGACCTCTCTTTTTCCCTTTCCCATTAATTTGTATGTTTTGAAAAAGTGTGTGGGAGGTGCATTATAAAATGTTGTTATGTTATATGTGTATCTTTCAGGGATTATATAAATTTACTCGCTGTAAAGAGTAAGTTAATATAGTTTTTATTTCTGTATTTAATTTTGAACTTTTATATAAATTTAATAGTATTATTAATTTGAAAATTGTTAATATCATTAGCTCTGGTATTGTTTTTCTTTGCATATCGCTTTTAAGTCCGTTGTTGCGTATCGGTATATGGTATTCTTTTAAAAAAATGGCCCAAATCTTAAAACATATTAAATTTACAAAGCCATGCAATGATATGTGACGTCACATTGGAGGTGCCGTCGGTGGGTCGTCGAGCACGAGCTCATAATACTCCTCCACCCCCGGCACACCTCCACACCGGCCAGACGCCGAGTCTCCCCACCACCAGACTGTGCGCAGGCACGTTGGGAACGTCCCCCCTGGCCTGGGGGACGTCCGGTCAACTGAAAACGCTGCGTATAAAGCGTTCGCGGTCCACTCTCCTTGGGTCTGAACGGCTTTGCTTCCTCTTCGGGGGAACTGTGTTGCGTTATCTCCCCCACCGTCCAGGGAGTTGTCCGGTCGGGATGAAAGCTGGGACGATACGGTCGCCTAGGGCCGGCTTTCTCGGGGCCGCGTAGCTAAAATCGTTGGTATGGATTTTAACCGCCACCTAGACCTCATATCCATTAACGGCAACAAGTAATCATGTTATCGCGTTACTTCCGTTGCGTTGGAAGCCATGCAAGTGGCCGGGGTTTTGACTTCGGGAGGGGAACCTCCCTACTAGTCAGGCACGCCACGAAGAGGCAAACCCCTTGTGACACCTCCGAGTCGCCTCAGTGGTGCGGGACTCTGACTTAGAGGCGTTCAGTCATCATCACCCCAGAACGGTATGTGACAACATATTCGGGAAAAGCTGTTGCCTACACCATGGCTACATTTACATGTAAATCAACTGCACAATAACGATTAAACACAATTTTTAAAGATAATAAAATTTTTAATATCACTTTGATTAATGAATGTTCTTTAATATGTATGTTACATATATTTAAATGTTTTCACTTTCTTTTTGTTTTCTAGTGTATTCTTATTTTTAAATGTAGTCCTGTATGTCTTCTTCTTTGAAATTATTGAACATGATCATCATGCTGGCTGAACCTGGGAATAGCACTATATAGAACTAATCTTCTTCTTCTTATGCCTTTCTACCCCGCCTGGGGCATAGGCCGTCTACAAGAACTTTCCACTCATCACGGTCCTGTGCTTTCCTTTCCAATTGCTTCTAGGTGTATCCCACATTTGGTGTGCCAGCCTCTAGCTAGCGTCTCCATGTATTCTTAGGCCTTTCTCTTTCTTTTTCCCTGTGGGTTCCATGTTAGGCATTGTCTGGTGGTGCTATCTTGGGGTTTTCGGAGTGTATGCCCTATCCCTCTCCACTTTTTCTTCATGATATCTTCATCAATGGGCATCAGGTGTGTCCTTTCTAGTAGATCTTTGTTAACGCAGTAATGGCTTATGATTATGAGTTTAAAATTTAAGGCCGGCACATCTTGTTCAAGTTTAAACTTTTATTAATCGGCCTATAACGTATATATTTTTTTTTATATTTAAATTGCTACAATTTTTTTTTTTTTTTTTTTTTTTTTTTTTTTTTTTTACAAATGAACATAAAATATTTTAAATTAAAATGAAAAAAAAAAAACGTTTCGGTCTAGTAAAACTCTATTAGCATCTGGGAATCGAACACTATATAATCATGACATATATGGTTTACCACTAGACCACACAAGATCGGCAACCTAATAGCCGTAACATAAAAAGAGTATTATGGTAATTTTTTGCCGGTTGTAGAGTCCTAGTACCAAAGTTTTGTTAGGTACACCGCCGCGATGTATGCAGCCACTTCTTTGTTGTTTTTCTTTTAAAGAACGTCGCCTTGTATGCCTTATCCGGTTCATGTAAGGCCCACTTTTCTTATTAAATGATTTTATTACTTTTCTTTAATTTAACCAAACATGTAAACAGCTTGATAGTAAAATAGTAAAATAAAATTCAGAATAGTGTTATGCTTTATTTTATTTTTTTTTATTTATAAGAATTAAGAATGATTTTATTAAGTTAAATTGATATTGTAAGGGGCTGTAGCTCAAGTGGTAGAGCGCTCGCTTAGCATGTGAGAGGTACGGGGATCGATACCCCGCTGCTCCATACTTTTTTTTGTGTTAAAAATCTTATTTTCAACAAAAACAATTACCGGTTCATTTAATTGAAAATGTGTGACTTTATTACCATTTCAAATTTTTAAGTTTTTGATAATAGAGCAAGATATTTGAAAGCTTTAATCAAAAAGACAGGACAAAAGATAACGTTTCGGCTAATAGCCTCTCATCGGAGACGATATATAAAATACGTCAAGATATAGGAATATAGGAACCAGTAAAACCATTGCTATTACCGGGTATCGGCAAATCTAGTTTTTTAACAAGCACCAACGTTGGCCTCAGAAACTTTCGCCCTGTGCGAAGCACCCGTTCGGCGCCCCCTTCTCTGTCCCTTATGGCTCCGCTCTTTTTCCTATAACGACGTAGGCTATGGGGCACGTGTTATGATGCTATACATGCAGCTAACAATACGCATATTAACATGCACATTAATTTAGACTGTTTTGTTTTTCTACGGTACTTCGAACTTCACTTTAATAAACTAAGAATAAGGGAATTTAAATATTTACTAGGCGCCCCTATGATCAGGGCGCCCTGTGCGAGGGCACAGGTCCCACACCCTAAAGGCCGTCATTGCAAGCACTGTGGTAGAATATAATTAGAAAAGCTGACTTAATGGGCCGATGTGCTAGAATAAAGTTAGAATGCATAATTTATAGCCTAAATTTATATGCAATTGCAATGAATACATTTTTGGCATATGTTTGAGAAGGAAGGCTACGCTCCGGGAGACACTTATGTGCAATTATAATGAATACATTTTTGGCATATGTTTGAGAAGGAAGGCTACGCTCTGGGAGACACTTATGTGCCAGGCATTTTCGTGCCACTGGAACGAGGGATCTTTTTAGGAATAGGAGGGATACAAGACGCCACGCATAATTTAAATTTTTCATTCATAATATTAATATAACAAATCCATAATCGCGGGGCCCCGGCTGGCAAATGCAAATCCCTACCCCACTGAAGTTTGAAGTAGGACCAAATTGGGCAGTGGCCGTCCACCTCTGAGTCCCCAAGCTCTGCATGCTAACACTTCAGTTTCCTCCATGGAATTCGTTAATTTTAACTGATAATACGGCGGAGAAAAAAAAAATGTGAGCAGTCTAAAAGCTATATTGCGTTTTGTTCAGAAAAAAAACATAAATAGTTGGGGAGAAGTTGAAAAAAAGAACAGTTAAAAAAAAAAGAGGACAAAACTACTGGTGACTAGATTAATTTTTTTTAGAAAACTTGGCCGGTGCTACAAGGCCCGCACCACCGGCGTGAGCTATAGTTTACATTAGTTTACAGCACCGACCCACTAAATATAAGAGAGTATATCATGTATTACATTAGCACCGACCCACTAAATATAAGAGAGTATATCATGTATTACATTAGCACCGACCCACTAAATATAAGAGAGTATCGCATGTATTACATTAGCACCGACCCACTAAATATAAGAGAGTATATCATGTATTACATTAGCACCGACTCTCTAAATAGAAGAGAGTATCGCATGTGTTACATTAGCACCGACCCACTAAATATAAGAGAGTATCGCATGTGTTGCATTAGCACCGACTCTCTAAATAGAAGAGAGTATCGCATGCGTTACATTAGCACCGACACTCTAAATATATATTGTAAGAGCGTATTGCATGTATTACATTAGCATCTATCCTCCAAATATAAGAGAGTATCGCATGTGTTACATTAGCACCGACCCTCTAAATATAAGAGAGAATCGCATGTGTGAATGATAATACGTCTCTGAACCGATATGATGAATAACAATACGGTGTCTCCCTTTTCCTTCTTTCGAATTTGAAACCTGGTCATTTAAATATGTTTTGATGCCCTTGAGTGGCCAAAAGTAAAACAAAATAAACTGTTCTGGTTACCACAAGTGTACACATGTCCAAAAAAAAAAAAAAAAGATTTCACTCGTAAAAAGAGTATGAAATCTCACCTTAGCTGCCACAGCAGGGTTGGATTATTCATTGGGTCAAATAATATATTTTCCAAGGGGCTCTGGTCCGGACATACTTTTATAAGCCACTGATAGCTATGGACCATGCCCAGACAGTCATGGGCTCCTATGTTAACCCCTGATACTGATAGCTATGGACCATGCCCAGACAGTCATGGGCTCCTATGTTAACCCCTGATAGCTATTGACCATGCCTAGACAGCTATCATCTTCCAGGGGCTCGTATGCTGTTACCTTAAGACCTTTAACTTTAATCGGGACCTCCATCATAGCAAGGAAAGTTGTCATGAAAAAGTACGTGTCATGTGATGACAGGCGGACGGAAATAAAATGACAAGGTACATGGCGTGTGAACGTTGAAACGAAACAACTTAACAACGAGTTAGTCGGCTAAAAAGTCTTCCTCTGTAAAAATAATACTACCAATAATAAAATTAATACTTCAAGTTTAATAATAAAACAAATAATAATAAAATTTTAAAATAATAAATTAAATTTAATTAAAAAGAGAAACTCAGCTCGAAGATCGCAAATTTCAATTTTTGAGCTTTTCTTTTTTTCTCCCTTAGAGTTAGGTCAAAATCACAAGGGCTTAATTTAAATTAGTTGAAGAGAATGTAAATAATTGAGGATTTGCAAATTATTATAATTTAAGGGGTTTATAATTATAAAATAATACAAATACACTACACCGAAACATTTTAAGGTCATCGGTGACAGGAAGTTCGTATGTAAACAAATCAAGAATAATTTCCCTTTGACCTGCTTCCCTATTATCGTTTACAGAGATCGCATAAACTAAAAATTTGCCGGTATAACTCTGTGGTCGTGGTGTTTTCTGCAATTATATATATTATTCAAAATAAACTTAAATTGAAAACTATTTCATTAAAGAAAATAACCGCAAAGTGTTAATAAATTATTTTCCAGTAGCATGCGATGATCATTCAAAATTTACTAAAGACAATTGTCAATTGAGACAAACGTCAAAAATGTTTCGAATTCAATCAATTGAAATTGCAACTGAAACAATAAAACACTAAAACATATATACGGTATATATAATGATGGGTTAAAAATCACTTCCCCCTTCCTTAGTAACTATGACTTAGACTTAGGAATTGGCAAAAGTCACCCCCCCCCCCCTTTTCCCTTTTTTTTTCTTTGGCTTTAACTTTAACTAATTCTTTAACACCTAATTCAATTCACTAATCACTAATCCCTTTTATTTTTTGGGTGTTCTTTGTTAATACTTTCATTTTCATGCTAATAAAAATAAACGATTATTAAATGCTATGTCCCAATTGGGCAGCCACCTGGGCTACTTGAGATTCATGTAACTCTTTCAAATTTTAATTTATAGACTAAATTTGGAAATTTTCATTTGAAAAAAGACTAAAGCCTACTTTATAAACTTTAAATAAGCCATCTAATTCTAATTTAATAGACTCACTAATACTAATCTTTATTATCATACTTTATGAAAACTTTTCCATTTCATCATCTAGTTAGAGTTAGAAGTCCAATAGAAGTATCAACTATCAGTAATTATTATAAATTATAAAGTAATAGTAATATGGTCTATGCATTCTACCTTCTGTATTTGTTTCTAGTTATACAAATTTTGTTTTAATATAGCCTGGTTTCTATATTATATTAATTAAATTTGTCATAATTTATGACATAAGGCAGGAGAAAAATATTACTCCAGGTTCATCATAGTTTATGTGTTGATTTCGATTTCCCTATTCCAACACTGCCAACACAGCTCTGTGGCTCCTTAATCAAATTTTCTTCTTGAGTACCGGCATGAGTTATAAAGAATAAAGAAATGATATTTAACTCGTATTTAAGAATAGCTGTGTTGGAAACAGTAAATAATATTCAATAAAATTAATATATATTTCAGCTCCATGAATTTTGTTGAACAGCTCAAACATCTGTGAGTTTTTCATCTAGAACCTAGCAGTCATTTACATTAGGTAAGACATTATATTTTTCAGCACTTGACAAAAGCACTAGATATAGTGTGGATTTCTACATGATCTCTTGTTTAGCTTTTATGGAATATATCTATTAAATTTACCAGTAACTTCTTCTTTGTTTTTTGAAGGAAGGATAAAGTTAATGAAATGTCTATTTTTACACAATGAAATTATCCAAAAGCCTAACCAGACCCATACAAACTTAATTATCCTGCCAATGAAATAACAAAAATCAATGCTCAAAATATACAAAGCAATATTTTAATTATTTTTAAAGGAAAATCTTTAAAAAAGAAAAACTCTTTACAAATTTTTGGCCTTTGATTAAAAAATAAACTGTCTGATGATAAACTTTTGGAAATCTTTACTGAAAATCCTTTTATTTAGATCTCAAATTTTACTCTGGCGCTGAATTAAACTCGGAGAATGAGAAAAAAATGATATAGGTATATGCTTTATAATAGTCATGGTATTATAACAATGAAAAAGATAATTTACATACAAATTTTCTAAGCATTTAGACCATTCCTTAATAAAATCATCTTTTGAAAGGAAAGAGAGGGAAAGCCAGATAGTGTAATTGTATGTGCAATAAATGGGAGAATATATCTCAGTTTAAAAATGTTTGATACTATTAAATAGACCCAATCATGTGTGGTTGGTTGCATTTGTAGAAAAATGTCTTTTAAATAGGATAGGTTATCTTTAAAGTTAAAAGCAATCATATTATATTATCCTAAAGTTTGAAATTCATCCTGCATTACATTAAATGCATATCTTTAGTTTAAATGTGTGTACAAAGAAGTTAATTTGAAATTTATTAAAAGTTATAAATACTCTATAAATTAAATTTCTGAATAACTTTTCTACTCCAGGTATTTATCTTTATTGCTCTGATCATCCAAGATGGTGACAGTTTTTGGCTATGACTTGAATGAGTACCTCCAGAGTACTATAAAATTTGCAGCAACAAACCCATGGCAGTTTATCTACTATGTTCTGCTGGTGTTGTCTCCCCTTTTCCTCATCAGTGCCATCCTGGCATGGAAACTGGCCAAGGAGATTCAGCACAAGGAGAAGGACAAGAAGCGCAAAGCAAAGCGTGAGGCTAATATAGCCAAAACGAGGAGGCACAAAGCTGATTAAATTCCAGGTTTATCTCATTGGGTGTGTTGTCCTGGGAGCTCTGGCAGCAGCTGATGAGTGAATGTCCACCTGTTTCGGTTTTTTATTTTTGTTATTGTTTTCTGATTATGCATTGGAGATAAAATTTATGATATTTTATATGATGATTTATTGGAGTACAGTTAATTGCTAAATGCTTGAATTCTGCCTGTTTGTGGAAGTGTACAATTTTATTTGTAGAGATTAAAGTGGCCATTGAATTATAAGAATTTTTAAATATTTAATGTCCTTGCTGTTCTGTCCCATTAAGAGAGGAAAAATGTGTGTTTATATGTTTGTGTCAGTTCTCTTACTATCAGTAACTGTATAAATTACATTGTAAATTGGATTCATCACTTTGTAAGAATTTAAATTAAACATTTTTGTTCTTATTTTCTCCTTTTTTTTTCAGCTCTATTTTTAACCAGTTGTTAGAATTTTTAACAAATATATAAACAAAGAAATTTTCTCTTAATGCCTTTAATAGTTTAGTTCAAGTTTAAAATCTTGAACTTCACATTTGTTGCCGATTGGGTAGCCAGGTCTGGAAAATTTTTGTCCCATAAGTTTTACATTGCTTTCATAGGTTCAAAAATGATTTAATTTTGTTTTCTTGTTTATTATGAATTTGTAAATGTCAAAGAAAGTAGTTTTATTACTGGTAATCATGGAATGTAAATTAGATTTTTACCTGTTTGTGCTAAAAAAATAAAATGTTAAGGTTAAATTAACAAATGATTAAAATCTTAATTACTTTCTGAGATGTTAAAATTATTTTAAATATTTCCTATTGAAAACTGTTACAGTTTTAGAAATTTCATTAAGGTTGTGTTTTAAAATTATTAATTAATGCATTTACTAGAGAGTATCCCTCTGTTAATTAGAAAACATAAATACTGCCATCTGGTGCCATGGTATCATTTGCATCTTGAACAACTAGTAGAGGGTTTAAATTCATCTAGAGAAGTCTCCAGCTTTTGGAAAAGAGCCAGGTGAAATGAACTTGTTAGCTTAGTAAGGCAACTATCTTTGGAAAGTAGGTGAAGCCTAAATACATATCTCTTTCACCGGAGACAATTATGCTGGGATTAAAGATTGTTTGTCTTTGTAAAAATATTTCCAGTCTACCAGTTGCAGCTGCAGCACAAAAAAGATGAGTTGTGATTAAGATTGTGATAGATCAAACTCATATTGTTCATTTTGTAAAAGTATTGAACTAATTAAAATATCATAAAACTTCCTTTTATTTTCTGGTACGAATTGTGATGCAGATTTTTTTAAAATTCATTTTCAAATATTTCCTTTATGAATATAAAAAAATATATGATAGATTTATAATTCTGTGTAAAAATAACTTAATGACACTTACTTATATGACATCAATTTTCAGTGCTTAGACAGACTCTTACTAGTCTTACTACATAAACTTTTGATATTTTTAGTGATTACTTCTGGAATTTGTGAGATAATTTTTGATAGACATGTTTAAAATACTAGTTGATTGTCTTGATTGTTACTTGAAACTCTCATTTTTAACGTTTTTTATAATAATTGTGTTTTTTAAAAGCCATATAAAAAATAATTTTTGTGTGTGTGCAAAAGTAAAATTAAATTTATTCTTTTTTAAATTTGGTTTGAGATGGGTTGTCTTATTTTGTATCCTTCTTCAACAAATTTTTGTTACCGCACATTGAATAAGTCATTGAAATTATTAGATGACAGGAGACAGGAAAATTTATGAAATACAAATTATTGAAGAAAAATGTATAAACAAATTTATGTTGGTTTTCATTTACATGTTTTATAAGAATATTTATTGTTTATGCTTTATATATTAAAATACAACTTCCAAATTCTAAAATTTCTTTATCATTTCAAAAACCACAAGAGAAAACATTATAAATTATTATTAAAAATTTTCAGCTACAACTAAAGTTGGCACATCCATGGCCTATACATAGAAATGCTTTAGTAACAGTTATGTCAATTATGAAGCTCTCTCTTTAACATTCCACTCTGATTTACCAAAAATTATGATAAGTAAATACGTTTTTTATATTTGATTATTTTCTTTATAAACTATGCCCAAACTCTCTCCAGTAAATTCTTCCAATTTTAGCAAATGCAATGTCTACCAAAACTCTAGAAACCAAATCCGATAAGTGGCATGGATTAAATTAAATTATCACACGGCACCCACAGCTTTAAAAATAGTTTTGTTTAGTTCTTTAAAATTCTTAATTTTTTTAACCAATCCATAGATTATACTGCTACTGCTACAATTGAGAATCTCCTAGTTTCAAGCTTAACATTCAAGCTTAGCCAGTTTTAATATACTTATCAACTTCTCCAAGTCAACAGCACTTCACTGGTTAAATTTGGCTGTAAATTGAAAAGTGTTAGTGTAACAAGCTGAGGATCATTAAAGATTTCTACTTATTAATTAATGTTTATTTAGACAACAATTATAAAATTATGTTTTATTTATAAACTTACTATAAACAAATTAGTTAAGAATGTCCAATTTTTTTTTTTTTAAACATTGCCTTAGAAAATACTAGTTTCAAAATTAATAATTGCCCTTCAAAAATTTTTTTGGCTAATGTTATTAAATATAAGTTAGGTATAATTAAGTTAAACAGCAATTAAGTTTTTTTTTCATACATTTTATTTGGAAAATCTATTTTAAATCCATAGTTTAAATATAAATTTAACAATTTAAAAAAAAAAAATGTGATAGTAGAACTTTAAATATCAGTAAGTGATTAAAAAAAAAAAATTCCTTCATTTTCAAATTAATTTTAAAATTATTTATATATTTAGATATCATTATTATATAAATATACTTTTAAACAAATCTTTTCATTCTGAAGTAAAATGTGATTATAAAGTCATAGTCAGTGTTGGTTTCAAAATGCTTCTGACTAATTTCACTTTTATAATGGGGATCTATGATTTATGCAAGTTTGTTTACTACTAATTGTCTCCAATTTTTAAATTAGTGATCTTCATCCCCATTGTCAGAACAGTCTGTAATGTCTCAAATACGGTATATGAAAAGTTTTAGGAATTAAATAACATATTACAAATAAACTAACTAAACTTATCAGTGTTAATAAGAGAATTAATTTTCTTACAACAGTTTGCAGTGATTTCTCATTATAAAAGAAAGAGCATTCTTGGTAGACATTTCTATGTGAATTAATAGTTGGAAAAATGAAATTGTCGAAAACTTGAAATACTCCAAAAATTGAGTAGTGTGCAAAAATTGTTTCAGCAGTTGTAACAAATGAATTGCTGTTACAAATTTGTATAAATGTAAGAAGAAAAAAAATTTGTTCCTTTTGTTAGTTGCACATCAAATTTATTTGAACGGTAGATTTCATGGACTATGCAAGAATTATTATGGGATGGCTTGTTCATTGTAAGTTTTATTTTGTTCTCCTTCTTTGAACAATAACATAATTATGTCATTAGCATCCCCTAACAATACAGAAGTACTGTTGTGTCATTAGCATCCCCTAACAATACAGAAGTACTGTTGTGTCATTAGCATCCCCTAACAATACAGAAGTACTGTTGTGTCATTAGCATCCCCTAACAATACAGAAGTACTGTTGTGTCATTAGTATCCCCTAACAATACAGAAGTACTGTTGTGTCATTAGTATCCCCTAACAATACAGAAGTACTGTTGTGTCATTAGTATCCCCTAACAATACAGAACTTCTTTTGTATAATTTCTGTTGTCCATATTTTAAAATAATTTAAAGATGCGACTGAATGTTCTTGTGCATGTTTTGATTTTGAAATTCGTAAGCGTCATGTACGTTCCTGTTTTTTTTGTTTTTTACAATTTCTCACGATCTCTTTTGTGAACTGCATCATGATGCCAGTGATAGTATCATGATACAAATGATATCTTCATTTTAGTCCACTTTTACTTCTCTAGGCTTTAAACTTTTGTCTTAACATATTAATGAATTTACGTGCATTTATGTTTAGGCTTGAGATGAATTCTTGCATTTTGTTCAACAGAAAGGAAGTTTTAGTGTAAGTCTTGTTCCCCATTACTAAGAAGTAATGTCTGAAGGTAGGTTTGTGCCCCATTACTAAAAAGTAATGTCTGAGTGCATGTATGTACCCCATAACTAAGAAATAAGGTCTGAGTGCATAAATGTACCCCATTACCAAGAAATAAGGTCTGAGTGCATAAATGTACCCCATTACCAAGAAATAAGGTCTGAGTGTATGAATGTACCCCATTACCAAGAAGGACCACATCATTATTCCTGTAAAACAATGCTTTTTTTTTTCCTACTCGATTAAAGAAACTACATGCAAAACTATTTCGGTCACACTGTGTTTATTGTGTCATTAAGTCATAGCCATTTGTCCAGATGTTAATGCTTAACATTTAGTTGCATCCACATGATGGATATTAAGTCACGTGAAGTCACATCCATGTATTGTCATGAAGTCACATCCCATATAATTGAAATGAAACACATCCATGTAATTGACATGAAGTCACATCCATGTAGTTGTAATGAAGTCACATCCATGTAATTGACATGAAGTCACATTCATGTAATTGTAATGAAGTCACATCCATGTAATTGACATGAATCACATCCATGTAATTGACATGTATTCACATCCATATAACTGATATCAAGTCATATTCATAGATTTGGCATAAAGTCATTACAATATGATTTAAATTAAGTAACATCCATGTAATTGACATGAAGTCACATACATGTAATTGTCATGAAGTCACATCCATGTCATTGTCATGAAGTCACATCCATGTCATTGACATGAAGTCATAGCCATTTAATTTATATAAAGTCACATCCATGTAAAAAATTGCCATGAAGTTTCACATCCATGTAATTGACATGTATTCACATCCATATAACTGATATCAAGTCATATTCATAGATTTGGCATAAAGTCATTACCATATGATTTAATTAAGTAACATACATGTAATTGATATGAAGTCACATCCATGTAATTGACATGAAGTCATAACCATGTAATTTATATAAAGTCACATCAATGTAAAAAATTGCCATCAAGTCTCACATCCATGTAATTGACATGAAGTCATATCCATGCAATTGACATAAAGTCACATCCATATAGTTGACATAAAGTCACATCCATGTAATTGACATGAAGTCACATTCATGTAATTGACATGAAGTCACATCCATGTAATTGAAATTAATCTATCCATGTATATGTTATGAAGTCACATCCATGTAATTGACATGAAGTCACATCCATGTAATTGACATGAAGTCACATTCATTTAATTGACAATAAGCCCAATGAATACCATCCATGTAATTGAGATGAAGTCACATCCATATCACTGTTATCAAGTCATATTCCTACGTTTGGCTTTAAGTCATTACCATATGATTTAAATTAAGTCAAAGCCATTTGGTTGGCATGAAGTCACATCTATATAATTAGTATAAAATCACATTCATGGGTTTGGCATTAAGTCAAATCCACATGTTGTAAATGAAGTGACATTCATATGATTCAAACGTTGATTAGGAAATCAGGAGCTTCCCAGATATCAGGAGCATCGTAGGTATCAGGAGCACCCCAGATATCAGGACCACCCCAGGTATTAGGAGCACCCCATATATCAGAACCAACCCAGGTATCAGGAGGGCCCCCCCCACAGGTATCAGGACCTCCCCCCCCCCCAATAACAGGGTGCCAATATAACCGGATGCCAACATAACAGGGTGCCAACATAACAGGATGCCAACATAGCAGGATGCCAACATACCAGGGTGTCACCAAAACAGGTATCAGGAGCGCCCCCACCACAGGTATCAGGAGCCCCTCCCCCCTAGGTATCAGGAGCACCCCCACTTGTTGTAAATGCCAATGGCATCGTTGCAACGCTCTCTCCTAATCATAAAGCTAGGAATCAACATAATTATCATGGTAGCAATGGTCGTTGGTTGTCTTATGCTCGAAGGTTTGATGGTCAGTCCTAAGGTCACAAATTGTTGGCTTCTCCTTGGAAGATAGGTAATGGCTAACCTGGTTTGTGTTAGATTTGGGGGGTAGGGGTGCAAAATGTGCGTCCGCGCCTGGTGGCACTTCGACGGGGAGCGGCTAATTCGGTTCCTGTGTTAATTTTTTAAAAAATTATTTACTTTTTTTAAAAAAATTACTTTACCAGACTATCGGTATAATCATTGTTTCCCGTTATTGCATCTCTAACATTGGAAATTCAACATCAAAACTGAGTGAATTAAACAAATTCTTTAAAAACTTAGCTGCAATGCATATGCATATTTGGTTCGCTTCCATTAGAGGCGTCGGATATTTAAAGGGGCCGAAGATTGTGATGTGGCAACAACAAAAATTATTGAACTACCAACTTTGAGTGCAATGGCATTAACCCGATAAAGTTACCCCACGGCACTGCTTCCATTTGGCGACTTCATATCATTTTTAAAAAATGGTAATCTGTGCGCCGCAAAGCAAACATAGTTTCTGAACAGTTCTACCATTACACTGCCATGAAAGTAGTTCTCCATTATTTACGGGTTTGGATAACACCAATTCAGCAGTAACTTGTGTTCAGGGGCGTCATTTTGGTAGGACAGAGTAGGGCATTTGCCCCCCCCCCCCCCCCCCCCACATATGTTGCGTTGGTCCATTGCCTTCAGTCATATGTTGGGTTATTAGCAACAATGTGATACTGAATATACTGATAAATGTCGGGGGAGGGGGGCATATTGAGAGCTTTCCAGGAGTGGTATTTTGTCAAAGCACGCCCTTGATTGACACCGCAGGGGCCATTAATCACCAGTGATATTGGTGACCTTGTTTACCAACAACAATAATCAAAACACTTATTGTTGGTTTCTTAATTAGCACAGTGGTGTCCTCAGACAGCCACGCATATTTTGGTGATCCCAGCAGCACATATATTTTTGGCTTCTGATTGCACCACACGTAATGATGACGTCCGCTCCCATATATGCATATTTATGTAAATATATATATATATATATATATATATATATATATATATATATAAATATATATATATATATATATATATATATATATATATATATATAAATATATATATATATATAGTGTCTACCTCAGCACCACAACTACTGATGACCTCAGCACCACATTTATTGATGACCCGAACACCACAATTATAGGTAGTCGTCTGTTCTGTCACGCTCCTCAGTTTGGTTCATCCCTGATCATTAGTCCCAGCATGACATACTTACGAAATCGTGACAATCAGCTTCATTGATTTTAGAATTAGAGTTCAGAATTAAAAAAAAAAAATTACTTAGCATTCCACAATGAAAAAATGCGGGGAGGGGGGGGGGGGGGGAGGGATGTGGGTAAAAATATGGTTTCAACCCAAAATGAAATTTTAAATAATAACCATTTTGGGGGGTGTTAATGTGTCTGTGTGACTTAACGCTGCAAATCCTAAAGGGAGTCAGAAAACAACCCGGATGGACACATTCACTGTCCAGGTGCACAAGAAACATGACCATAGGCCAAATGCGTTCCCGGCGTGTTAAACGTGTTCAATGGAAGTTCACGAACTTCATCGTTGACATTTACGTCCAGGAGAGCATGTGTACATGATACAAAATTGACGCCCTTAAATGTATCATTTGCTTGTCTCTAAATCTTACATACTGATGTGTATGGTTATGTCTGCATGTCAAGCATTGCCATCGATATGTCCCTCACATGTCATTCTCAATAACTTTATGAAAGTGTGAAGGTTTGCGATACTTTTTTAGAAAAGGTGTTAGCCCAAGAGGTATGTCCAAATCAATGCAAGCACCCCAACGTACATCCTGTCCTTTAAACACTAGTCATAGAACAGCGGCTGCAGAGCGCAAGAGACATGCCAGGAAGGCCCGGTCTGACTCTGCTCTCGGAGATGCGCCATCATTCCCCTGCTCACGAGAATTTCATGACAGAATCGGCCTCATGAGCCATCTGCGCACCCACAGACAGAACCAGCACCAACTCTGATGATTAAAGTGGTCATGGTCGACTCCCGACTGACGAACAACAACAAGTCATAGAAGATGCTATTGCAGGAAGCCGTCAGTGGATGCAATGTACAGACCTGTTAGTAAACATAACCTTTTTACCTCCCCCCTCCCCCACGACCATGACGTTCATAAATTGTTGTAAAAGTGGATTAAACTCTATAGGGGAACGGGGTATTTTGGATTACAATGTTTTTTTCGGATAACCGAACACTGCAACAGAAAGGTTGCACTAAAGAAGTTGATGCGAAGAAAACCAAATATTTTTTACATTTATGCATGTGCTTAATGGCAGCATTTCTTAACACGTGGATGTTTGAGAACCACTTTAACATTTTTATTTAACGCCTTGGGCCCCCACCCTCCCTTGCACTGTAATAAAAGGGACCTTTTAATATGCATAAAATCATTTTTTTTTTTTTTCAAAATGTTCGTGGTTCACCAAAAAAATATACCGTGTCCCTTTGTGTGGGCGGAGGCAT